ATGACCGAAGCCTGGTGATATGTAGAAAGCTGGGAGCCGACCCGAGCGGGTTGCCTGAAACACCCGTTCAGTCCATGCGCCGCGGATCAGCATGCAACCTGTCAACCGTGCAAAGAGAGTGGTAGCTATTGATATTCCCTGCAAACGACAACAGATGCGAACAATGTCTTAATATCGATTATAATTAGCTCTGTTCGATTGCTCGAGAGTAGTGACACTTATTGATACTGTACTTACCGCGGGGTGAGGAATTCTAAGTTACTATTCCTGACTACTACTTAATCTAGGAAAGATCGTACATATTCAACTACTACTAACTAGAGCAATGGAGTAACCCCTCATCCGAAGCGAAGATCCGCTCCGCGCGGGGGTCCCTGGGTGTTAGTATGCTAGACCTCAGTCCAATGCCGTTCGGCATCTATCGTGACGACGATGGCATACCCCGATGAGGACAAGAGACAAATAGTTGAAGTAATCATAACAAAGGGAAAACTGGGGCAACGGTGCCCACAGCTCGCACTACACAGTAGGCCATCCTGGTCCGAAGCGAGGACGATCCGTGACGATCCCGTCTATCGCCTATCGTTTGGGGGGTCCGAGGAGGGGAAGCATGCAAGACAAGAGGGATGATCCCTCTACTCCGTAGCACCGAGAGAACTAGCTATATCAGCTATGTATAGCCAGCAATAAAGCAACGCAGTAGCATTATCATCACAACCTGTACAGGTATATACGCTATGTACATTTTGTACCCCGCCAGTCTCCTCCAAAGAACAGGTTCGAAATGCGACCCTGTCCAAGCCAAAGTGGCACGGCCACTGACGAGGCAACAGCCTCACACCGTCATTTAATCGACGAGCCGAATATAACTGGCTGGCCGATACCCGCTACCGCACCCTGGACAAACCATCCTGCAAGCCCAGCACGGCCACAACGCTTCAACGGTGGAGAGTGGGGCCAGTGCGACAGGGAAGCGCGGGCTAACGTTGGATCATCGTGGAACTATGACTTAAGTGGTAGGCAGCCGAGCCAAGCTGAGAAGAGAGCGAGCGAGCGAGTCTGAGCAAGTACAGTACATACTAAGTCTACTCTGTAGAGTAAGAGGAAGAGGGTCCAGGAAATCATCATTAAGAGAATCTAAATCAACGATTGGGCGATCGTTCTATATTTACATACCATTGCGCAGTGATCGCTGATCGCCCCCAAATGTCCGACTCATCTATCCACTTTGATGGAAAGAATAATGTCCGGTTTTTTACATTTTATTTTTCCTGACACTTCAATTTCGCATTCGTTTCACGGCTAAGAAAGGACACTACTGTAAGTAATCAGGATTGACCGACAAATTTAATCTATTCCGATCATCATCATCAATACTTGCCGACGAGCAATAGGAATCACGGGAAATAGAATGCTAATAATCAAAATCGACCGACCATCCCGCCATTCACGCCAAAGCAATCTCACAATATATTACTTTATAATTTCCCGTAATATAATCCTAATCCAATCGATCGGAACACCCCCAAACTAGGGTTTAAGTCCCAGTTCATTCCACGAACTAGAAACACGAGGAGATTGAGAACAAGGGGGAATAATAAAAAAGCAAAAAAAAAAAAGAAACAAAAATTACTCCAACCTCCAACCTCCAACCTCCATACACCAAAGGGAGATTTCTCGGAAGGGCCGACGAGAACGACGGGGAGAGGGGAGGGGGTCCACATTCAATCAAAGGCATGCAAGTGGCAGAGCTGAAAAAAAGTGGCGCCCAAACCGTTTTTCATGGGGCAGTGCGCAACAGTGGGTCTTCGGTAGACGCGAGGAACGCTGCTGTCATGGGCAATCGTAGGAGATGAAGTATCTAAGTATTGTTGGGGGGATAATTATAGAGAGAGTTAGGTGTACAAAGGTACAGTGATCTGCTAAGATAGACGATGTGGACTGGAGGAGCTCAAAGACGTGGACAGGCGAATGGAGAACAAAGTAAAACATTGTGTCAGTCTTGAGACCTCGAGGATCCTCCTATCGTATTTACTTTATGGAGTACATGAATAAGTCAGGTTGAGGTCTAAAGGAGGTATACTCCGTAGTTCGCGGCTGAGTTTCTCACCCGTAACTCACCCAGCTTCAGCTTCAGCTACGGCTGGAGCTGTAGCTGTAGCTGTAAGCTCGAAGCTCAATATTTTAGCTTTTCCGAAAACCTAGTCAGAAGCCTAGATACGAAAAGACGAGCTACATATATATACAAAGATGATACATAGATTAAGTTGTTACCTCGGAAATACCGACACGGTATGCCTCTATCCTCGACTAATAAATGGCTATGGAAGAGCCTCGCCTCGGAAAATAACAAGAAAATCATCGAACAAAATCACACTACATAGCATAACAAACTGAATAGCAGGACCGCCAAATGACTACAGCATTCAGCGAGGGAGCCGCGGCGGCAAAGACGCACTTTTTGCCCTACCAGGAAATAGGCAAGAGTTGAACAACCAACCTGCATTAGCAACTAAGTTACTAGCATACCGATTAGTCTAGTCAGTACTCGGCATACATGCAATTCAGATACACTTATGCACCCCTACGGACCTCCAAGACCCCCCAAGACGAGTAAAATAGCGGGAAGCCTCCGTAGCGCAAGCCCACAGCTGTACATCATCAAAGTGCTAGCCCGCCTAACAACCCCCCCACCCCTCCTCCAAAGTGGAGCGCAGCCTGACGAAAAAACCTACTGTTCTTACAGTATTGTATGCAACCCGGCAGGAATTAATTGGTCGCTCGCATTAAGTTCGATCGAAATGCGAGATCCGGCCGAGTCCTTGGATCCTGCCCTCCGAGGGTGGGTTGGGTTTGGGGAGGGGCTTCACCTGAAACACTCCTTTTGCCTTGTGGGGAAATTGACCTGCCCACTTGTTATTCCCCTCTTCTACTTGATTATTCCTTTTTTCAATTGTGATGAGCGTTGTCTAGACTCGGAGATGATTGTATTGATGAGTGTTGTTTGTTACTCCGTTTTTGTAGATAGTTAATGCGTAGATAGAGGTGTATGGAGGAATAACCAGGGCAAGTACAGTACAATGGACGGGATGGGGGCTTGGCCTCGTTTGGAGTGGAGTTGATGGTGGCTCTATGGATAATAACTCCGTACCTATGACCACTCACATACTCAAGCTTTGTATGAAGGACGGCGTAGAGGTGCAGATGGGTAGCAGCAAGTCATGATTCATGGCAGTGATCGTAATACCCAGTAAACTTGGTCAACTATGTACTTCATCCAGGAACCATGAAGCAAGAACCGGTTCATAGTTAATATTGCTCTTTTCTCCCCGGGCTGAAAGGTACTACTGGAATAAAGTCCTGGTACATTTGCCATTTGCCATCCACAGGACGAGTACGTATATGTACTTCGTACTACTAATAATATCAATGACTGACTATCAGTTGACCGTTAGTTCGCAGACAACCTGCCATACCGTTTCGCCACATCCCCATTCCAGTAGCAGCACGGTCGATCATCACAACCTTACGACTGACAGGTTGACGCCTCACATCACCATCCAAGCTTCAAAGCCCAGTCGGTGACTAGACTCCTTCCAAATCGAAACGATCGGAGAGAAGCGAAAACGAGTCACAATTAAAGCCCTGACAGCAGCGAGGCTTGAGAAGGGGGAAAGAAGAGTCTAGACCTTGTCGGGGGTTAGGGATCCAGATTCCTAGCTTCTGGACCATTGCGGAGTCCAACCCGTTGATCTTTATTCACGGGAGAGTGGCTAATCCACGGTTCGGGATCTGACAACCACAACCGCCTCTGCCACGGCAGGGCGTGAAATTGCAGGGGGTTGAGAGGGAGAGAATGGAAATTGGGCTTGGGGGGGTTGGAAAGTGACAGGCGATAGATCACCTCGGGGGCCTGATGGGGGCATGTAACATGGACTGGTAGTAATTGGGTTGTTGGGTAGACGTGGCAAGGACGGAGTTTGGTGGTGCCTGAATGGATTCATGGTTCAGGACACTTCAGGTACCGGTGAATGAATGGCCAATGCCATGATAGATTCTATGTGAGGGGAGTAGCCGGTAGTACAGTCCAGTATGCTACAAAATTATGTAGAACATGAATGATCTTTTTGAGGATCATTCTATGAGAAAGAATCTGGATTCCTCGCTGAAAAGGCAATGTAGTATCATAGGTAGAATACTTGGAAGGTATAGAAGAACAGACAAAGAAAAGTGACTTAGTACATTCTCCTTTCTTAGCTACGGCGGTTGCTTCCTCTTTGATGGATTGGAACCACACATTCTACCCATGAAACAACCCTCGTGATCTCGAAACTGTCCATGTCGGACTTGCGTTTCTTTGCCTGCACTGCGAAGCCATAGAATCCGATACCATCTCTCTGTTCGGCTTGGCAGCGCTATTTTGTCGACGACTTGAAACAATAGCAGGGCGTCTTTTAGCCCAGTGAGAAAACCCATAGTAATTCCTATTCATTCTTTTTCCTTTCTTGGCATGCCACCTTCAAGTCTCTTGTCGATGACTTTCTTTGAACAAAGCATCTGAGAGCGCTAATAGCATAACCGGGACCTCCATAGTTCGCTGTGTGAGCCACGACAATCTGTCGCAAAGAGTGCGCCTCAGGAAAGTGATGGAATCTGATTTATACATAGCTCAAAGGCCCCAAGTGAACCAGAATTCCTCTCTTTGCTTTCTTTGTACCTAGTATCCCTGTCAACAATGAACAGCATTTTCGTGTACCATCTCAGCCCCAGTCCTCAACCTAAACTCTCCATTTCCGTAATGACCAAAGGTCAAAGAACAAAGAATTCACCACACGCAACGAGAGGGTGGCTCTCCCTTGGAAACAAGATAAACCGAGTGTCCATGCCTCCCAAATCTACCAGAGAGATTTCTGTTTATACATCCTTCACTTCCAAGCTGTCATAGCTATCTCCAAGAATCTCGCTTTGAATACACGTTTTTTCCTTCGAGTCTTGTCAAAATGCCACCCACCCGTGCAGTAAGTCCTCCCATTTCGCCGTGTACCATTCACGATTCTAATGAAGACACAGGTCGTTCCAAGTCCTCAATGGGAAAATCATTGGAAAACCGCCAAGACACTCAAGGGGTTCGAAAACACCGACGGTGTGAGCTGTTACCGAAATGCGATCCTGCAGATGCTGTTCCATCTACCTGTATTCCTGAACTGGGTACATCTGTGTGTAAAAGCGCACGTCGATGACCAAGGGGACTGCCCGAATGGAAGAGACCTCGATACCACCGAGGACGAGGATACACGATGCAAATTGTGTCGGCTGCATGATCTGCTTGACGCATTTTGGGATCCGACGAGTGACAAAGAGGATTTTGGAGTTGCTGTGGATGATTTCTGGGACGTGATATTCTAGGACTGGCTTGATCGTCAGCCTCAGGATGGCTCTGACCGTTATGGCCCACAAGATGTTCTCGAGTTCGTCGTTGAGATTCTAAAGCAACTCTCGGAAGATCTCTCGGGGCCGCTGTAAGTACGACTATTCCCAAAGGGCCTTTTATCTGGTTATCATGATACCAACATCGTTGTTCCATAGACTTGATTCACTGAACGATATGATCACTATCCACGCTTTTGATCACAAGACATGTACTGGTGACAAGGGCTGTGGCAATACAGCATCTAACCTCGATTCCTTTCCTCTCTTGACAGTCCAGTTCCCTGAGGTTCAAGATAGCCAGACACTCGAACAGGCGATCGAGGACTCCTTTGACAAAGAAGTGATAGACGCTATGTGCATTGCCTGCGAAGCAAACCCCCTGGAGGCGGAGTTAGTCCTTACCGAAGTACCAGAGGTCCTAATTGTCCATCTCGGGAGAATCGGCGAACGGGACACAAGACCCGGAGAAACTGAAAGATTCAAGATCAATTCACAAATTGACTTTCCAGAAGAAACTATCATCAAAAAAGAGTGGCTGGATCCTAGACTTGGCGGTATCAGGAAGGATATCAAGTATGTGCTTTCGTCTGTGATACTACACCAATCAGAGACTACGGATGGGGGCCATTATATGGCTGTAGTCAAGAGTGAGAATGGAACTTGGACTCTCACCGATGACACACACCTCCGCACCTACGAGTCCTTCGGGGAGATGGCCGGCACAAGGATCATCCGGGAAACTGCGTATATCTTTACATACCGTCGGCTTCCTCTGGTGACTCGGGGTCCGGAGATTTCTTTGAAGGAATCTCTTCAAAATGCCAAATACAGTGATCCTGAACCAGCCAAAATCGATGGTGAGATGGAAATCGATAAGACGTCAGCAGGAAGCCATAGTAGCATTGAAATCGACGAGGCGCCCGCACAACCCGATGGTACCATGGACATCGATCCTGTTCCAGTCAATGGGACGAATGCTGCGGGACGTCCCCAGGCACCCAGGGTTGTGCAGCAATACGACGAGACTGAAATCGAGCTGGATGAGAAGCAGCGTGGTACTCTGGAGGTGAGGTTTACCACCAACACTGGGGTGACTACCTTGAAGGTTCATGTCAAGGGAATGCTCTGGAATGAATTGAAGGACTCTCGGCGACGCGCCTCTGCGGGAAGAAGACCTATCACTAGAAGCGTGGCCACTTCGAAACAAGCGTCTGATGCGGTTCCCCCAAAACCAGTCAAGATTGTCAAGATCAATCCCAAGGCAGGGATCTTGGAGAAGAAGCCTTCCTCGGAGCTGGTCAATGGGAAGAAGGGACAGCTGGAGAAGATCTCGCCTCGCAGTCCTGGTCGGGTAGTGAAGAGGGATGCTCCGAAGCAAACTGCCCCGAGGAAGACTGCTCCAAAGAAGAGTGTGCGGAAGTGAATTTGTTGGAGGTTTGATGGTGGTGAATATGGCTTTTCTTTCTTGTTGTCGTGTTTTTGTTGGAGTTATACAGAGTGTTGCTGGTTTGATATATATTTTGGGAGGTAACGAGTTAGTTTGGATTTATTGAATCACAATGTCAATTTTCAAGCATGAATCTATCCAGAATAGACATATAAAACATGCCTCCAACACATCGACATATTTTGCAAGAGAATGTCGAGGCGTGGCTTGTATAGAGCTGGCCGTCTCAACATCGTCTTCCGACCCGCTTGCACCTCTCCCTCTTCCCACCCTTCAGCAAATGCCTACCCGATCAAACATGGAACAAGAATCAAATCTACACAACCTCCCAAGCTCAGCAGGCTTCATCGACCGTCTCATCAACGAGCTGGCCAGATTCCAAGCGGATCTACCCAGAAACACCCCAGCTGAACTAGACCCGCCCAGGACACAAAGCACCCACCAGCCGAAGCCACCGCAAAACGCACTATCACGACTCTCACCATCCCAACTCGCCAGAGTCAAACCACTACTACTCACATTACACTGTCTCTTCCCCAATGATCTCCTCCCAGCCCTGGACATCCTGGACCGGAGGCTCGTGCAGAGGCTTGTAGTGCGCGGGGACAAAGTCAATGCCGTACCATCGGCATCGGCATCTACCCAGGAGGGCCACCCGGGGAATAATAAAGAGATACAACACGATGAATCAAACACAGCAATCAATCAAACTACACTGGACGATACCAAACCCGAGGATACACTCAAAGAGGATCTATTTCTCTTTCTGGTAACATCCGCTTCGTCAGCCCCTGCATACCCCATCGGAGCAGCACCGGCATCATCAACTACGACATCAACGTCAACATACACCACCATACAACAACCACAAAAAGTCTACGAAGTCCGCCTAAACGCCTGGAACTGCACATGCCCCACCTTCACGCTCTCCACATTCCGTGATCTAGAATCCCGTCTACACTTTGTCTCCAAGCCCGATCCAATTCCCAGCCCCAGGTTCAAGTTCAGCTCGCCTCCTCCATCCAACACTGCAATGCTGCGTGACAGGGACGATGGATCTGCATTTACATCTGCGCCCACATTTGCATCTACATCTGCGCCCGAGTCTGCATCTGCAGTCTACCCCTTCGGTGGGACATTGACTTGTCCTACCGACCGGGATTCGCCGCCAGCATGCAAGCATATTCTCGCCTGTGTACTGTTTGCGCGGTGTCCGGGGTTATTCGGGGATGGCGATGATGATGAGGACCGGGGTGTTGATGTTTCGATGGAAGAATTGGCTGGGTGGTGTGCGGGATGGGGTGGTTAAACCGATTTTATTAGGATTTGGCTTGGTTTTGATTTTGGCAAATGCATATGTATTGACGACATCGACCTCTTTGAAAATCTCCTGGCCTATCGGATATTTTGATCAATGGCGGGATGAGATTTTACTCCGCTGGTTCGAAGCAAGAGATGGTGAAGCGAGGCGTTCTGGGATGAACTGTTTTTCTACGACGCCACACGTTCGGCATGAACACGCTTGTCAGCCAGCCATGATGATGAAATTCTGCAGGTTGAATCCACAAACCCACAAATCTGGTGAACGGGCCCTGCAAAGAAGAGGATCGAATCGGTACTCGATTTATTACGGTGATTACGGGCTGAACAGGGCAACGCTAAAAGTAAGCCCGAAGCAAACAGCAGTGGCGGTGAAGAAGGGAAGATTGTCAACAGTCAACAGCCACCAGGTCATATCCTTGATTATTCCGTACTATACACTGCCAAGCAGATGCAGTTCTAAAGCGGTCATAACATATTGGCGGAGCATTGATTCCTCTCTAAGCGGGGCGAGAAAGAGGGGGAAAGAGACAACATAATCTCCAAGAACAAGAGCAAGGAGAATCAAGCTTAGCTCTTCTTCTTGCTCTTGTCAGAGCTGTCCTGCTCCTCCTTTTGCTCGCCCGTCGCCGAGCCATTGGCCTTCTTGCCGTCCTTCTCACCCTTGGCCGCATTGATCTCCTGCTCCCGCTTCGAGTCACTCTCCTCCTGCTGCTGTCGGTTCTGGATCTTGTTCTCGATCAGATCGTGGAATGCCGTGATAGCGCGGATCAGACTGCTGATGTAAATGGCCATCAACTGGTCATTGGTCTTCACACTCATCGCCCGAGCCAGTTCGCTGTTCTCGGTTTGTGTCTCCTGACCACTGATCCGTTGTGTGGCCGATGGCGTAGACAGGTTGGGGAGGAGGTTGAAGACGTCCTGGAGGTTACCCAGGATAGCGTGGTTGACGGGGAGTTCGTGGTCGAGGACCTTCTGGAGATATCGGCCAATGTCACGCAGCCGGAGGTGCAATCCTTGCAATGACTGAAGCTGTGACGTGATGCGGGTGGAAAGCGTGCCGACGGCGACGTCTCTGATGTCTCGGAGCAAGTGCTCCACGCCAATCTCCTCGGCCTCTTCGGCCTCGATTATCGATGGTGTGTGTACGAAAGTGCGAGAGGTTGTGGTGCCGTCCTGAAGTAGAAAAAGTGGTAATAGGTTAGCCTCATATGTTTGTCATAGCCAGTGCTTTTGACGATCAACTTACATCCTTAATCTCATCCACAGCAAAGTAGGCATCTGTAGGCACGCCGACCTCCTTGGGCTGTACATCGACAATCACCAACAAGGGGTTCGGGGTGTATTTCTTGAAGAGCTCATTGATCTCCAGATCAGAAGCACGCAGCTTCGGGCCAGAGTGATACCAGCCAACCAGCTTCTCCCGAGCATTGATCTTCTTGAACATATCCCTCATCGACTCGACGAAATTGTGATCCAAGAACCAAACCGATGGGTCCTTCTCATCCTCCTCGAACGGAACTAGATGCGGGCGAATCCAGACCTGGTCAGCCTCAATTGCGGGACGAGCTTTTGTTGACGAGCAACAGAAGAGCTTAGGACATACCTGCGAAGCTGTTGGATACGCGCACATTATTGCCCGAGTTCTCACCCAGCAGTACACCAACGACACGTTTCCGAGTGCCCTTGGCTGTGCGCCCGTAATGATCGGCGACGGAGAGCAGGACTAACGGGGCAACCGTGACGGAGCGGTTGACGAGGGATAGCGTGTCCGCCGTGGTGGCAGGCATGGCGACGATGTGGAGGGCGAGAGGGTCAGTGAGATGTAGAAGCTTGGACAGCAGTTACCGACGGAAAAAACAAGGTTGCTGAAGGATAGAACGGGGATCGATGGGGGGTTGGAAGGTGTGTTGGTATTCAACTTGGGGAACAGGAACGATGATGCTCCGAGAGCTTCTAGCCTGCGCCACGGACATGCGCCACACAACTGTGGCTAGTGAGATGAGGTAAGCCATGCCCAGTTTTCGGTCTGTTTGACTGTTGGGGAACATGTTGAGCTGGCCAGAATTAGGATGATAGTCGTAATAACAATTAACAATTGTAATAAAGAAGAATTGGACTCAATTATCCTAGACGAATTGACTCTATCTAAACCAATTTACAACCACATCCTCCCCAACTACATACTTTCGGTCTGTCAGATGCATTTCTGGCGAAAGTAAAGTGTCGCGGCTGTCGCCCGCAACTTGTTGCTCCGAACCTCGGGCGCTAAGTTTCCTTCCCTTCCATTTCTCCGTCTCTCCGTCCTCCAAGTCTTTCCCTTCCTCCGTTCTGTACTTCTCGACTCCGCCAGACCTCTCCCCTCCTCTACACATTCTCACAATGGCACCAATTACCGACGATGTCGTTTCCGGTCTCAAGGACACTATTGGCAAGCTGGAGGCCCGCGTCATCGAGCTCGAGGGCCGTCTGACCGGCTCCAAGCCCAAGTCCGTGACAGAGCAGATCCGTGTTATTCTCATGGGTCCTCCTGGTGCTGGTATGGGAATTGGAAGATTACAATTAGACCCGGATGAGCTGTGTTAATGCGATTTTTTTTTTCATTTCTGCAGGCAAGGGTACTCAGGCCCCGAACATCAAGGACAAGTTCTGCGCGTGCCACCTGGTAAGTAGCCGCTCTGCATTTGGTCTAATGTAGCGCGCGCATTGTTCGCTGACATTTTTGTCTTCCTGAATAGGCTACCGGAGACATGTTGCGGTCACAGGTCGCTAAGAAGACCGAGCTCGGCAAGGAGGCTAAGAAGATCATGGACCAGGGTGGTCTTGTCAGCGACGAGATCATGGTGAACATGATCAAGAGCGAGCTGGACAACAACGCCGAGTGCAAGAACGGGTAGGATATGCTCCTCCCTTTCCCTCAGAAAACCAACTTTTCGAGACCTCTGAACTAACACGCATTGCTATTTCTAGCTTCATTCTGGACGGCTTCCCTCGCACCGTCGCCCAGGCCGAGCGTCTGGATGACATGCTCTCCTCCCGCAAGCTCCCTCTCCAGCACGCCATTGAGCTGCAGATCGACGACGCCCTGCTTGTGGCCCGTATCACCGGCCGTCTGGTGCACCCGGCCTCGGGCCGCTCGTACCACAAGATCTTCAACCCTCCCAAGAAGGACATGGTTGACGATGTCACCGGCGAGCCTCTGATCCAGCGTTCCGACGACAACGCCGAGACCCTCAGCAAGCGTCTGGTCACCTATCACGCCCAGACCTCGCCCGTCTGCGAGTACTACAAGAAGACCGGTATCTGGCGCGGCATTGATGCCAGCCAGGAGCCTGGTCAGGTGTGGAAGAGCCTTCTGGGTGTGTTCAACAAGACCCAGTAAAGCAAAGAGGGGCGAACTCAATTGGGAGGAAAGATTTCTGTGCTTAGGGTGTGAACAAAACAAAAGCGCGCCATTTCTTGAAAGCGCGCAAAACCTGTCGGTCAAAGAGTGGCTGGATGGGTGGACGAGTTTAACCAGTCGGGTTTCGTCCCTGTGTGCTCGCGCATGTTGTTTGTTTTTTTGTTTTCTGATTTCTTTTGTTTTGGGCTTGGTTGGGGAGCACATGAGGAGCGAGGGACTTGGTGATACCGTTCGCATATAGACGCAGAATAATTGTCTCTCAAGGTCATGTATAGTATGTGTACTTGTTGTGGTACCCAATCACTGTCGCCTGCAATGGCCAATCTGTATTCAACTACGATAAACTAGTTGTAGAGAAAATATTTAACCAGCTTTCTATACTTAAAGTAGAAGCTCTGAGTAAGAAGGCACTGTGTGACATCAGATATCTAATATACCATGTCTACATTCTAATTTCTACCTACGAACCGGATTTCCTATGCCACGGCTTAGCTCTCCGTTTCCGTTTTAGTGCACAGACTCTCGCCGCTTTTGCTCACTCGGCAGATAAAAGCACGTCTCTGAGCACTCTGATCGGGCAGCCGTATACACGAACATCACTTTCACATTAGCGACGTGGTAGTGAGCATTCCTCTCAACGGACGGGGTGTAGTTATTCAGTGCGACTGAATGAAGTACCCGATGCTGAAGATTGAGCATGCCTAGGTACTATAATCGGGAATCTTCAGTGTTCCCCTTTGTGTACTTGAGAAGCGGCCTTCCTGGGATCTGATTACTTACCTTCTAAATGAGCTTTGATGTCAGAAAAGCTGAAGCTCAAGCAACTCCAAGGACTCGTGGGGTTGTAGTTTCAAACCTCCAAACAACCGTGTCCAATTAGTCTTCCAGCAAATTCCCCACTACATACCTATCCAATCGTCGGGGGCGTACTGTATTGCTAACATGTGCCCGCACGTGACAATTGAGGCAGCAGGATTGATGAGGCAATAGTATCAAAAATTACCAAGAACGACATCCCTGTTGAAAATTTCAGATTAAATTAATGTAACTCAGCACGAAAGGTCGCCCACCCTGGGTCTCTGGATTCATCCAGGCAGGGTATTGGACTTTTCAATAAGGATTATTTCCTCTTTCCCGTTTGGGGCTGCGCTGCCTATATGAGAACTAACGTTAAGATTGGATTGAAGCGGGCAGCGATTCGCGAACAAGAGGCTGGTAGGATGCTACGCATATGGGAAAGCCGTTAGGTTTACCGGCTGTCCGGTGAGTGTAACAACTCTCTAACCGAGGCGATAATATCAAGGAATATTACTACTTACGTTACAACGTGGTCTGCATGGCTCAGGATTGGTTAAATCATCCTAGAGTATCGACTATGAGCGAATTGGGAAAGGTGCTATCCGCCGCATCAAATTCTCCCGTGTTAGACAGGGGACAGGAAGTCGCGGCCCTGTCATCAGAACTAATTAAAATGACTTCCCTGTAACTTAAGAGGGGCTCAGATTATATATAGACATTGAGCCCCCAATACCTTGCCGTCAGTTTACCCTAGTTCTTCGCCCCTACCCTCCTTCAACCCTGAGAAGTTTCCTCAAAATGGCCAACGAACAAACACTCCCTGATTTTGTTCTTGACGACAATGCAGTCCTAAAGGATGATGAGGCTTCATGGCGATATGGAAAGGCCCCCGACTACTCCAAGACCCGGGCGTTCTATCAAGAGAGTAAGTTCCATGGATGAATCTTCGGTCCGATCTACCCATGATCCATCCACTGACTTCAAAATCCGTAGCCAAAACCATGTCCCACGAGGCCAAAAGTTTGCCGGATCTCGTTGAGAAACTCGTGAAGAACTGGGAAATCGAAGCCTCCTTCAAAACCTCCCTAGACGATTGGCGGACCATCGATCGCAAAACCTACACCTTCTCTCTGAACGGGGGTGAACCCCAATCCGGAGAACATATGCTTAAGGTTGGCACCTACAATGCTCTCTTAACGTCTAGCTCGTACTATGACCCCATCAACAACGACTTCGAGACCAGCCACAAGGCATTCAAGCGTATGATGCCGACCTTTGCCTGGGAGGTCAAGGAAGTGTACAGTGGCCCACCGGTGGTGATCTTCAAGTGGAGGCACTGGGGATATATGGTCAATGACTATATCGGAAACAATGAGTAAGTGCCACTGCCATCCATGCTAGCTAATTCTTCGACGAGAGGGGGGCCGCTGACTAGGTTTTTTCTCCTTAGCCGCGGTGAGAGTGTAAAGATAAAAGCACATGGTGGACTGATTGATATCGTTGGTATTGTCATCGCCAAGGTTAATGAGGGACTTCAGCTGGAGAAGATCGACGTTTGGTATGACCCTATGGACATGATGCGACAAATTGCGCGGGAACACAAGGGAGAGGCTGTCGATGCCTCCGCTGCTACTTCCGGATGCCCAGTTCTAGCGGGTTCCAGGCCAGCATCCGAATGAAGAAACAAATCCAAGTGATGGTGAAAATTATAGGTCAGAAGAGACATAGCCGGTGTCTTCCGGCGCCCGAAACCCCGGAGGGCCACTCGTTACAATGTTCCTATTATCAATAATTACCGTGGCTTATGCTAGTTTCCAACGGCTAATCACTAAAGGACTTGGCAAGAAACAATCCGAGTTTGCTAATTGGCTATTCCTGTATCGTCAAATTATTTGCAAGGCTGTAACGGCCAGACCCCGTCTTGTACGCTACGGCCTTTCTGTAGCTTCCTCCTGTCTCCGTAGACAGCAGCCATTGATGAGTCAACATTCTACCGATTCTGCCACAATAACTTGACCTGCGGTTTGATTCCTAGGTATATGGTCACTGTAACATCAAAGTAATAGTAAACAAAAGGGGAATACTGTCGTGGCTATTAGCGAATTCCACCCTTTCTGCCCGCTCGTGCACCTTCGCGGTAATATCCGCAATCAATGCAATATAATCCGTGGGGGCGGAAATGCGGGTCATCCAGCAAAGGCGGGGGGGTGTTCATCGATAGAAGACCAACGGCACCCTATCAGCAACCCACGAGAGAACTACAGTATCATAGGGGCCTGCGCAGGAACCAGAACACAGCTACGCATATGCCACAATTGGTTATCTACTTACGCCGAAACCTGTGGCTTCCGTGATGACGACAAGTGAGTGTGAGGTGCATAAGAAACAGCCACTTACTTGATGGTAGACAGTCCAGATTTAAGGGATATTCGAAGGAAGTTATAGACTGAAATGGAGGACGCATTCAGTAGCGTATCAAGTCTACTAGGAAGCTTAACCGAGGGGTGTCGCGGCCAGTCATGGCTATGCTAGACTCCGCCGAGGCGCCACAACGGTTTCGGAGCTGCGCGTCAGGAGAGCAGCCTAATATGTACTAGTTAGGCACAGATCTTACAGTGACTATGCAAAAGTACTATGTAACTAACCAAATAAGTAATATGTAGATAAGTTAGATGCCTTTGATAAATATCTGGGCAGCCAATCAGACCCATTGAGCACTTACTGATTACTCGGATTCCCGGACTGAAATTACCAGTGAGTCTGACTTTGAACGCCCTCATAAAAGCGGCGGCAGCTAAAATAGGAACTCCCCATCGGAATAGTGCGAATAGTGTCCTAGATAGTCCTCTAATAATATCCAATCTCATGTTAATATTCCAACTTTCAAAAGTTGTAATCACAAACACAATGTATTTATTCAATTCTTTTCATCTATCTATCCACACTATCCTCTCTCTCCTCCTCCACACACAACCATCTAGCATCTATCATTTAATATCTACAACTCCAACGGATACTCCGTCGACTCAATCTTAGCCGGATACACCAACCCCCCCTGCCGTCTAACCTCATCCATAACCTCCATAATAACAATACTCTCCTCCCAAGACATCCCCTCACTCTCAACCTTCCCATCCCTCAAACACCTGGCAACCTCATCCGCCTCCCACGCCATCCCATGCCCGCCATCCGGGAATCCACACTCCACATCCCTCACCTCCCCTGCACCCTCAACACCCTTCTTCGGAATAACACGATACTTCGTCGGACGGAACGGATACCCAAAGACCTGAATCTCGCCCTTCGTCCCCTGGATACGAATGTTCGGCCCCGACGTGCCTTGTTCATCGGGGTCGCCGGAGACGCGGATGTTGGTCATTGCGATGCCGTGGGACATGCGGGGTGGTTTGTCGTTGGAAGGTGTACTGGTTGGGAATGTTAGGAGGATTGTGGTTGATTCATCGGCGCCCGTGAGGTGGTAGGGGGTCATTTGGGAGGTGACTGTCGGTGGTTTGCGTTGGGATTTGGGGAGGGTGTGGTAGAGGGTTTGGAAGACCCAGGTTAGAGAGTAGATTCCCACTGGAAAGAGATGTTAGCACAGCTGACCATGTAGTCTCAATCTCAATCTCGATCTCGATATCAAGATATCATCATCTGTGTAAAACTTACAATCCAACAACGCACCCCCCGCCAAATCCGGATTAACCATACGATGTGTAGTCCCCCACTTCCCCTCCACATCATCACCAAAGCTCGTATCCGCCACCGTCCTCAACACCTCCCCCAATCTCCCCACTCTGAATAATATCCCTAACCTGGACACTCAACGGGAAAAACCGCGTCCAAACCGCCTCCATCAAGAAAAGACCCTTCTCCCTCGCAGTCTCAACAAGAATCTTCGCCTGCGCCGCATTAACCGTAAACGCCTTTTCGCAGAGCACATGTTTCCCCGCGTGCAGGGCAAGCATGACATTCTGGAAATGATGCGAGTGCGGGGTTGCGACGTAGATGACGTCGACGTTGGGGTCTGCGACGAGGTCGGTGTAGGTGGCATAGGCGGTGCAGGGGGTGGGATGTTGAGGGTTGAGATGAATTGGGTTGCTTTTTCTTGCGAGGAGGAGGAGGCGACGGCGGTGATTTGGTGGGATATGTCCGGGGCGTTGCGGGCTTTGGGGTCTTTGAGGAGGTCGCGGACGAATGCTGATGGAATTGTTAGATTAGATTATTGATTGTGTTTTCTCGGGTTGGGTCTAGAGGGTTATAGCGTACTCGTTGCGATCCAGCCAGTGGCTATTGAATTGGTTAGCTTTTTAGTTTGATGGTAATAGAGAAGCAAAAACATACCCATGATACCCCAGCGAATTGTGTGTGCCATGATGAGATAGTGATAATGAGAAGCAATAGAATTGGTGGAGATGAGATGGATAGAAGAAAAAGAAGATACAAGAAACCAGTTCGTGTTTATAAGACAAGGACAGACTCCGTTCCAGAAATAAAGCGGGGACTTGAGTACTACTGTACCCTAAGTGCGGAGTAGAATAATGTAGCGTGTACCGGATTTCCTATGCCACTTTCCTTTCCGGTTTTAGTGCTCTGACCCTCCCCGCTTTTACTCACTGAGTAGATCTAAGTTAGTGGAAAGAAAACAATAATACCGTATGTTTGTTCTTGGTTCTGTTAAAAGGAACTCGAGAGATCTTCCCACGAGTTTAATACTGCCATCCACATAGTTACATATATACCTATACTCTAAGAGTCATCGTGTTAGTTTCTTTGCTGCATGTTGCAATAGACGCCTTTAGGAACCAAGTACAGAAATCAATCTGTGATCTGTGGATCAGTGAGTAGATAATTAGAGTCACTGAGCAACTCAGTGAGACTGACTCTCATAAAAGCGGCATCTTAGATACAGACGTAGGTTAAAATACGTACCATTTTTCCTATGCCATGTGGGCTTTTCCTATTTTAGCTGCCACCGCTTTTATGAGGGCGCTCAGAGTCCGACTCTCATAGTAAATTTCAGTCCGGGAATCAGACTCACAGACCTGTTCAATACCATCACGTGATAAGCAGTGAGGTCCAATGAGCGCTCACTGAGCCATCGCTGAATCCTCAATATTCATCATAAGTTAGGTTAGAGTAACTATTAAGCACCCAGTCGCTCGACCCATACCTTAAAGGAGCGCTTTGCCCCACAGTTCTGTTTATCTTCCGACCGACCTTTTGATGGACCTCAATTTCACCGTGCCCGTATTTTTTTAAGGTACTCACTGAGCCGCTCAGTGACTATGATTGGCTGCTCACCGATCCATCACTGATGGCATCTAACGTTAACTATTCAGCAGTCAGTCGACACTGCGTCTATACCTAAAAGAGCGGTTTGCCCTATAGTACTGTGGATCTCACGACCTATTAATTAATGGATCTTATCTTTCACCGTGCCTCTGTTTTCTGAGGTACTCGATCTTTTAATCTCGATCTCATCTCGAAAAAAGGAATAGAGTACGATGACGCAAAAATAGAGGATTCGCTATTATCTGCTACACACCGGCGTAGAGAAAACGCCTTCCTCAGTTATCGGTCTACTAAGATCTGCCCTCTGGTACAAAAGTACAAATTGAAGCTATGTCCCTTAATTTCAAGCACCTGAACAGGTTTTATCTGGCAGATCGACAGCCTTTCGGCGATGAACCATCAATCTTTCGATATCGATGCTGAAAGGGAAGTGAGGGGAACCCTGTAATGGGTTACACGATCACGTATTCCTCCTTCTGCCCATTTCAACTTGGCGCTTATCCCTCCTTACTATTTTGGAGATGAGACTGTACATAAATTGAGCATTCAGGAAGGAGGTTGTGAAGCCTCAAGAAAGAGTCTTGGAAGTCGCATTACTACCTACCAAATACCCGTTACATTCCTGTACACTAATGGAGTCGCAATGGGCTACATCCCTTGCAGTTGTACTTGCACGATTCAGCTACACTGCATTTTGGGGAATATCTCATGTCGTATTCTAGGATGTAACCTTGAAGGAGTGCAGTAGTCGTCAAACAGCCCTTGGTCAAGATAGAATTTACCCAGGATGCATATCATTAGTATGAACTTCAAATGTAATACGACGTCCTCATAGATTTATGCTTAATGGCGATACTGTTATACTATTGGGTAGAATGAAGTGCCGGGCGTTTTTTGGGGGGTAGTATGAGCCTCAACACTTGTCAGCTTTAGTGTAGGTAGGATTTTTGAATGAGAGCCTGTGGCGTCATGACCAAAACCAACTGCCAATGAATGAATGGCCTGGACCGGTCTACAAATGCATATTGAGAACTTGACAGCAACCTCGAAAAGAATTGAGAAATGATCTGGAACCTGGTCTATGAGATCACTTATGAGTCATTTATTTATAGCTCAGGAGAGGACCGGTATCTATATTCCCCCTCTTTGATGGAAGTTCAAAGATAGACCTCCAAAAGTACGGAAATCCCGTACGCAGGATTTATTATACATTCCCTCCCTACAGCATACTCTAGTGCTATACATCAATCCCACCGAATCTCTTCTTACATACGCATACACTTGGGCTATTATTTCCGTTTGATAAGCCAGTCATACGTCTCATTTGCTCTGCTTCCAGGAAGCACCATAGTTGAATCCAATCAAAAGCCGCCAGCATGTTGACCAGAGCGGTGAAATCACCAGACTTCACAAGCCAAGTCCGCGGTCCAACTTCTCATTACAACGCCGCACATGAGGAAAACCAATACCTAGACCTGATCCGCAAGATTCTTGCCGAAGGAGAGGAGCGGAAAAGGGAAGGGGTGGCTACTCCTACTCGCTCGATCTTCGCACCTCCTCAGCTACGATTCTTGCTCTCCAAACCCGCTGCAACGCCTGGCTCGGATCCAATTCATATCTTGCCCATTGTTACCACCAAACGTGTCTTCCTGCGGGCTGTCATATCCGAAATTCTCTGGTTTATCTCCGGAGGTACCTCTTGCATCCCGATCTCCAAAGCAGGAATTAGGATCTGGGATGCAAATGGAACCCGCGAGTTCCTGGATAATGCTGGGCTCGGGAATCATGAAGTCGGCGATCTTGGCCCAGTGTATGGGTTTCAATGGCGGCATTTTGGGGCCAAGTATGTTGATGCAAACGCGGATTATAAAGATCAGGGCGTCGACCAGCTCGCCGAAGTTGTACGCAAACTCAAGGAAGCGCCGTTTGATATACGTATCATCCTGAGTGCATGGAACCCTGCTGATCTGAAGAAAATGGCTTCGCGGCCTTGTCATACGCTTGCGCAGTTTTTTGTCTCCTATCCGAATGGATTAGAGGAGAAGGGGAGTCTGTCATGTCAGCTCTACCAGGCAGCTTGTGATATGGGCCTTGGGTGGCCATTTAATATTACGTCCTATGCGATATTAACGCACATCTTGGCGCATGCGACAGACTTACATCCTGGAAGCTTGATCCACACCATGGGTGATGCGCATGTCTACGAGAATCACGTTGATGCGTTGAATGAACAGCTCACGCGGGAGCCTACTGAGTTTCCACAACTGCGGATTAAGCGAAAAGATCGTGGTAGTGGAGTTGTGGATGGCTGGAAGGACGAGGATTTTGAAGTTATTGGATATCAGCCTCACAAGGCTATAAGCATGACCAAGAGTCCTTGATATCATTACAGTGACTCCTAGTATTCTTTGTACCTAATACTACGTCTAGGATCCATCCAATAATAAACCCGGGCTCCACATGCGCCAATTCTATAGCGCCCAACATAATCTACAAAACCACGCCAGGCCAAACACCTGCTTGGTCCACCCACATAGGGCGACGGACAGGTGTATTCAATTACCAGAAATGAATAAACTTCGGTAGAATAGTTAGTATCATAAAATGCGCGCCCAAGTCAGGCGCATGCCTTCTAATCAACCATTTCAAGGCACATACCGCCACGTCAGTGAAGCGCTATCTGCGCCTGGATATCATGTAATATGTATTAGTGTCGCTCCTCTTTTTGATCAAAGTATGAGGTTCGTTTTATATTGAGTAACAACCGTAGAGTATATTAGATAACGTGATAGAAACACAGGCAGATTGATTGTTTTTTTCTATTTAAGTAAAAGGAGATTCAGAAGACAAAACTAACGAGAATTGTCGATGCAAGCCGTGTGTCGTCACCCTGTTTTCAAAAGATTCAATTCCTTAAGCCGTGCAGCTCTGCAATGTTCTTCGTCATCTGCGCTAAATCCTCCTTGTGGCCCTTAACAACAGATAAATAATCCGATGTTAACATCAACAGCTGAAAGTCTTTCAGCCATTCATTAGTGGTATTAGCCACCTTACAAGTCACCACCGCCAACGGCTTCTGATGCCGCCGTGACACTCTCACCAATCGATCTATTGCTTCCATCAATTTAGGATCTTCAGGGACGCCCAGTTGTTGCGGGAGGCGCATAGCGACTCGGAGGTCCCCAGCTCCAAGCATTAATGCGTTCACGCCGGGAACTGCAGCAATAGCGTCCGCATTTTCTAGTGCAAGCTGAGATACGTGGTCAGCCAAACGAAAGAAAAACTAATCCCGGGAAACTAGATTTACCGGGCTCTCGATCTGAATGATCACTGCGAGATTATCATCGGCTACATGCGCATGCGAGGATCCTGTCGGTGCGATATCTGTAACGCCAGGGACTAATACCGCTGGAGCGAGAGATCGATCACCGCCTGAGTACGCATACCGACACTTTCTGACAGCTTCAGCAGCTTGCTCAGGCGTATCGATATGCGGAAAAATGATGCCTGCCGCTCCTATATTAATGAAATATGGTGTATAAGCCTCGAATTAGAGCAATCAGGTTGGACGCCGAACTCACCCGCATCAAGCGCATAGGTTAATAGGTGTGATTGAGTGGATGGTACTCGACAGATCGGTACAGTCCTCCCCTGGCTGGAGAGGCTAACAGTCTGAATCAAGCGAACGAGGTTCTCGGCTTCGATGGGCCTACAAAGCGTAAAGTACTTTAAAACCAGACTCTAGACCTGTATTCCACTGCGAGTTCCAAGTAAAAGAGGGTGAACATACGTATGCTGTGCGTCGATCATCACAAAATCATAGCCCAATACTGCAAGAGTGCGGGCAGAGATTGTGTGTGGAATTGAGACGATAGTACCCATTAAATGTGTGGAATGACCAGGTCCCAGTTTCATAGTATCCTCTAGCGCCTTGACCAGGCTCGGGGGCTGAAAGAGCGATGCCGCACGGTATCTTTCCATTTTGAACTTGGGCTGCTGGGCTTGGAGTCGAAATTCCTGAAATTGTAAAGCGTGACAATATGCACGTTACTTTTATAGAACGGCGCTTTTTTTGGTGCGAAGAATAATAGAAATTTTACAAAAAATTTACACTATCTTCCCTGGAAGAAGGTTGCTTCGTAACGAGCCCGGAAATGCTACATGCAGAAACAATATTATTCATTTGAACCTGATGAGTGAATACTGTTGCCCAGAACTAGAGAAGCGGCCGCAATTGGGCATATATGTAACCTTTCCGACAAAGGGCACTCTAGGTTTCAGTTTGGTTGCTCGGGTAAATGTGACCGTAGTCTATGATTCACTTCGTGCTGACTGACTGCAAACATTAAGGGTTCATCCAAAGGATCAACGCATTTAGTAATTATGTCTAGAGAAATGCGTTTTAACAGCCCGGTCTGTCGTTTAGCTTTGTATCGATTGTACCTACGATATGAACGATGGATGACAGGGCGAATAACTGCTACAATCTAGAACGAGGTCCATTTAGCCCCATGACATTCGACATTCTTCTTACCTGATTTCGGGTTAACCTAATTTGAAAAGCAGAAATGAGCTAAAACAAAATGGGGGAGGAGAGACACGAAGGTCACTATTTAAGCTATATTCTAATGGTTTCTCAGGTCGCTGAATCTCCAGTGGGGTTTCAAATTTATTAAGCCCCCAGAAAAACTACTGCACGCTGCCGGTCGCAGCCTGCCTACAGGAGAGAAAAGTTCTCTATGTGGATTAGACGCCTCTGTCCTCTCTCCTGTGTATCACTATATCGCCTTTATAAGAGTAAATAGCAAGATGCCCCATGGTTGTAGATATGCGAGCTCAGTGTACTTGCAAATGGGGCACCATACCAATGGACAATGGATATTTGAGGCAGAAAAATAAGGTAATCATTGACGATAATGTTCCCAGTTTTGAGTAGTTTTGCAATGTGACAGTAGCTATGTAGATCGGGTTACACCGTTACCGTGAATCGCCCTCGAGGGTATATGGGGATATTCACTTTTCGTTCGGTCCAGGCAAGAAATCGATTAGCATCATAATCTGGAGTGCTCCTCAAAAATTCCTTTCTTCCGTGGATCATTACCTATCCTACCCTTGCCAACAGGCTTATCTTCGCTGCCAAGTAGATCTATCCACATATACTTTTTCCTCCTATATCAACGATAAAGATGCCTTACTCCAACCACTCTTCTTCTCATATGCAGAACAAGGTTTCTCAGATCCTCTCGATAATTTCAGCGTACCGCTACCGCTCTGCCACTTTTCCTGATCGCTTTTCCGAGTTCGCTCCGAATCTCAAAAAGCAACTTAGTGAAGCTGTCTCGTGTGGGGAGACAGTACGGTTCATTCTTCCAGCCTTTCCCTGCAAGTTCACTGCTAAGGGAGAGAATCGGAAGACTCTGGGATCCCTGCCAGACAAAGCGGAAGCGTTCGCTTTGCAAACCCTCGATGGATTCGCAGATTCTATTGCTGAGACCTACGCGGGTGGTGCCACGGTTGTAATTGTCTCAGATGAGTTAAGAGGTATGTGAACTAAAGAATGTCTCGCGAGACCGACAGATTTGGTAATGGCGTGCTAGAAAATCTGAAGATTCCGGACGCCGATGTTTTTGCCTACCACCAGGAATTGAAGGCACTGGCCTTGTCACTTGGTCTCACCCATCTAGAATTCGTCCGTCTTGGCACTCTTACCAGCAGTGATCTCGAAGAGTATTTCGGTAACGCTTCCAAAACCTGCAACCTTCTCGATGGTCCTCTGGCGCAGACGGTCGATCTTGAAGAGAATGAGAGACACGCCACCACGTCAATGCCTCATATTAACGACACTGAGGCTTTCAAGCCTTCCATATTTAAGCAGAGAAAGGTACAATCCCTAGTTCGATACCGCGGATTATCGCCATATGTCTGATAACCTCATTGGTGTAGTCAATGATCCGTCTGTCCATCCACGAGTCCAACAATGTTGGCAAAATTACGCTTGACCTCTTCCCCCCTTCAACGAACCCCGACTTTCTCACTCCCTGGCACGGTGCCGTCGCGGTCCTCGCAGACGCAAGCGTGCGTATTATCGATGCCTCCGCGGTTGATATGGCCAAGTTCGAGGTCATCACCAACCATGCGGGTCGCCCCTGGCTGCTTCGCGAGAAGTCTGATCTCTTCGACTGGGGCGGCATGGAACTAGATTTCGAGCCTCTCTTCCCCTGCGGTATGCTCATCCGAGCCAGAGCCGGATGCGGCCCCTATAAGTTCGAGAATGTCAACATGAGTCGCGTGCGTCAACTCGCCCTGTCTACGGCCCCGCTTCTTCTGCGCGGCTTCACCATGCAAGTTGAGAAGGAAGTATTCCGCAATAAGGCCCGCGAGCTAGGCAATATACAGACTTGGCCTTTCGGCGATATCCTCGAGGTCCGTGAGAACGCTAACCTCAGCGTTATGAATGTGCTCACTCGCGAAGCTATGCCCTTCCACTATGATGGTTGTTTCAAGACCGTCGAGGACGAGAAGACAGGCGGTTGGATTCCCACACCACCTCTCTTCCAGATGTTCCGGAATTATGTCGCCTCCCAGACCAAGGGCGGATTGACCCTCTTCGCTTCCTCCCGCAATCTGATCCCTCTCCTGGGCCCAGACACCGTCCCGCTCGAGGAGCTCCGGAGGCTAAAGTGGAAAACCTTCACCACTGATAAAGAGGCATTTGGCAGCACCCAACTGCTTAGGCCATTCATTACCCCCCACCCAGAGACTGGCGTCGACACCTTCCGCTTCCACGAGCCTTGGCCCGAGAGCAAGTGTGCGCCCGGAAGCGGCGTGATTGTGCATGTTATGGTCCAGCCACAGGCCAAAGGCAACGCGATCTCTCAGAGTCTTACCCGGCTCATGTATGACCGCCGGGTTGCCTACCGTCACCATTGGAAGGAGGGGGATTTCATTTTCAACGACAACGCCATGACACACCACACTCGCACGGCGTTTGAGAATGGTCACCGCGAACACTGGCGTGTGCACGTCAACTAGAAATTTTCTGTTTTTGATAGTTCCTCGAGATGGACACGACTATTATCTCTTATTTCGTGCAAGGATTTGACTACGAATATTGTTTGTGTTATCGCATGACTCGGTTTAAAATGCTTCTGGACTGCCACTCCCGGAACTCTTAGCTATGTGTAGTTGCGTTGTGCTCACATATAGGCTTAATGGCAGCGTCCACATATTTAGAGTCGTCTTTGTTCGACATTACATGGCAAGCTGTGCTTGTGGTATTTGCTTCCGGCTAAGATTGAGTTTTATTTTGAGGGAAACAATAACGTTATGGCCCAGAACCTTTATAGGCCGAAACGAATCTCGGGTCAGGTTGCATATCCGCGTCTCAGGCGTGATTGGTTGTGGGAAGAAGTCCTTGATTCGGAACGGCCCGAAACGAGCCATCCCGGGCCGCGGAGTTGGGTGCTAATTTGGAAGAGGAATCTGCCGGAAGCGTAAAATATAGTAGGGCCTAGAAGGTTCCTAGGAGCAATATCCTTGAATCGAACTACTTAGCCAGAAAGAAATAGTGATTGCTCAAAAGGGGTTTCTGGTACAGCCACTAAACGGTAAGAAAAGTAGTCTTTGTCGCCACACTGCGAACAGTCTGTGCTTTACAGACGATTATTCAGTGCGAGTTTTCCAGTTTCAGAGTAGTCTTATGTAGTTACCATGTGCTACTTAGTTAGCTAGTACTCAAGGATACCCAGAGATTGTGGAGTCAGGTAGGCGAATGAATCCCATGAGCATGGATGTAGTTTAACCGATTTCGTGATCAGCCGATCAGAGTGCTTATATAATGCTCACTGATCAGATCAGGGTGCTCAAAGATGTGCTCAGATCTCCTCAGTGAGCAAAAGCGGCGACAGTCTGATCACCAAAACGGAACGGGAAAGCCAAGACGTGGCATAGTAAATCCGGTATTTAGGAAAGCCTCACACGGCAGAGTAAATATGTTACGAACTATATACTGTACTATGCTGGTGGTATCGTCAGTAATTGGATAACTAAAACCCCCACGGAGAAACATCGAGTGGGGCAGAAAGCACCAGAAAAAGCGACGTCATGATACTACACAAATTTCCAATGTCCAAATTATGCACGGTGTGATTATCTCTAATTTACATACAGTATGCAGTTTCATCTTCAAGCCTCCGTCTTGATGCGCGTCTTTCCACCAGGAGAATCAGTTCCCTCAGCCTTGCGTTTACCCAGTACAGAGTCGGGTGTACCAGTACGCGCTTGAGGCGTTGAACTACGCGGTGCAGGACCATCCTTGGTGACTTCGGCATAACAGCTGGCATGGTAAACACGACTGCCAACCTTGATGGCATCCTCCCAGATCCAATCTTGCACGTCTTCCGACCAGGTCGACTCGAACTTCTCCTGGCAGATGGGGCAGGGGGTATTACGGAGGGTGGCATCGTTAGGAGCGCGGATCCATGCCTTTGGCGGGCCTTGCTTGGAGGCATTGCCTTCTGCACCGGGGCCTCCTTCGGTGGTGGAATCTGTGTCGGCGATGGGCTGGTCGTCGTCGACCTCGCGGGATTTAATCCAATCCTGTAAGACCGGAAGTTAGTACTCTGTAAAGTAGAGAAGAAAGGGAAACGGAGTGCTTAGATAGAACATACCCTTTCATCAACGTACCAGCTACGAGTCTGAGCCCGCTTAGCAGCCTCCGACATGCGCTGGTTCGTCTTGAAGTGCCAATCCAAGTGTCGTGCTTTCTTCTCTTTACCCTCCTGGGTATTAGGGAAACGACGTCCGCAGGTTCCGCACCTGTTGGACTTGGCTTCATACAAAGAAACCACGAGAGCGACTCGAGGGCTGAAAAATAGTACAAATTAGCACGGCCGAAACAGGGGTTTGTGGTGATAATCTTACATTTTCATGGATGCGGTGGTCATCGGAACTGTGGACGAGACTGGCATTGAGACTGGCGGAGTAGGAGCCGGAGGTGTAGACCGCATTCCACCAGGTACAAGGAAAGGCAGCGGGTCTCCAGTGGGTGGCTGACCCGTAGACCCCATAACCGGAGGAGCCGATGCAGGAGGCAGAATGCCACGCGATCGCAGAGCCGCAATCAATGGGTTCTCGGGTTGGGGTGTATTGCTAGCAGCAGGCATCTGAGGCATCTGAGGCATCTGCGGCATTTGAGGCATGGCATTAGGAATAGCGGGTGGAGGAGTGGGTTGTTGGCGGATGGCAGTATTCTTGATGAGTTCGGCGAGGGTTCTTGAGTTCAAGAGGTTTTGCAGAGATTGGGATGGAGGTTGACTTGGAGGAGTAGGGACCGGGGCTGGGGGAGGGACGGGAGCGGCAGCAGGGGGAGGAGCGCTTGGTGAAGGGTTTTGAAGTGCAGGCGCCTGTGGTCTGAAAACTGATAGCTGATCCCGAACGAGTCGGAGCTGATCTGGGGTGAGCTGCTGGTTTCGCATGATGGTCTGAAGATCGAGCAGTGCCTTGAGACGTTGCTGTGAGGTGGGATCAAATGGAGCAGCAGCAAAATCGTTCCGTGCCGAGAGAATACAGGCCTCTAGGTCTCGGTTCAAAGCGTCGAGTTCAGACGTTGGACGGTGACCTTGCGGTGGTGTCTGGAACAGTAATGTGGTTAGCCAAGTCTCAGTGAAAATAGGACAGAATCGGGGAATCTCTTACGGGTGTGCCATATCCCTGGCCATTGGTGCCATGATGATTATTGACTTGTCGAGACATGCCCGGTGGTGTACCAGTGTTACGACCACGATTGAGGATATCGCGACTGCCTCGCGCCTGCTCCTGCTGCAAAGCCGCCGTACGTGCCTTGATGAGAGCACTCTCGATACTGCGAGTGATCTCGGGAGGAAAGACCGGGCGAGTGTCCAATGAACCCGGAACAGGCTCTTTCCACGTCTTCAGCATCTCGTCCAATTTGCGACGAGTCTGAGCATCAACCAAAGTGTACGCATTCATAAAAGTCTGATACATGTTTCGCCCCAGGAACAGGGTGTAAGGAGTCCCGACGTTCTTGACGATGGAGTCGACTACATAGAGAGCAGGTAGTTTCTGCTGTGGAGGTGTCTACAGAGGCCGTTAGAGATTCCAGTCTACGAGGACCGACAATAAATAGAGGCGAAAGAGACGAAAAGATGAAAAGAGCACCTACTGATCGAATGTGATTCTCCAGCACGCGGGAGATGGCCATGGCATGCTCGGTGTTCTCCTTGGCAATGACGGTCAAGTTGCTGATCTGGAATCGGTCATTGCCGGTGAGATCCTCCAAGGAACTCTTGTAGTCCTCGGCGACCTCGTCGGAGACGAGTCCGGTCATGGTGATGAAGTGTGTTTAGCGTTGGAAGTTCAATGTTGAGTTAGAAGGGGAAGGAGGGAGGGAGGGAGAAAGGAAGGAAGAGAAGAACAGAAGAATAAAGTCTCTGGGAAAAGTGTGAGGTCCGCAATGGGATCAGATGGTCTAGTCAACCACCACTCTGATTTTTCTGTTTCTTTCAGTCGCGATACTTTTTTTTGAGCTGTCCACTTGGTATCTCTTGTTTTTTCTGATCCTTGTGCAATTCCTCCTCTTTCCACAATAAATATTGATTTTTGTAGCTTCTGATCCTGTACTGCTACCACAGGAGACTTTTGTTTTTTTTTCTTGTCCTTAGTCTGCGTCCTCGATCCCAGGCCCAGCTGCTTGGACGATCAACACGAGATGGAGAATAAAAGAAGTCGGAACTTGTAAAATGCTTGCTAGCTATCTTTGCGAGACTTGAGACAACAACAAACGCGCCTGTCCTTCAATCCTGCAAGACCCTGCAACCCTGAGAAACCGTGTCTGCTTTCCTTCACGTCAACGAGGAACCCGAGGGGGAGGAGAGGGGAAGAGGTCGGGGAGTCGGGGGTCCGGCGAATCCACACAATGCTGAAAAGGGAAAAAAGGCTGAATGGCAGTTAATGCTGGAGAAAAGGAAGAAGAAAAAGGGCAAGAGAAGAGAGGAAGCTGTGTGAAGTTGGCGATGTTGAAAGACAAAGCAGAGAACAGAAGAAGGGACTGTCAGTCAGTCGAAGTCCGCAATCCGCAATCCGCAGGGTCACCTGACCATCCATGACGCAGCTCGTTTACTTACTAGAGCAGTCAGTCTCGTGGCACCCGACATCTTCACATCTCCTTCACTCACAACTCTACTTTATCAAATCTATCCATTCCATACTACCTAACTGCAATGAAGTTCCTCTTGACTACTCTCCTGGCTCTCCTGCCCTTGGCGCTGGCTGCCAAGTCCCTCAAATCCGTTATCGTGACCTTCCCGAATGGTACACCTGCTCGGGTCATTGATCAGGCAAAGGACTCCCTGGTGGCTGCGGTAAGCCTTGCATATCCAACCTGCATCCTTGACACCTTACAGCCTCACTGACAGTCTGATTCATCTAGGGCGGCGTGATTACCCATGAATACCGTAAGTTCTGCTTTCCCTTCCACTGAATGCGACAACCGAGGCTGACCATTTCGCTTTCTAGATCTCTTCCCGTATGATCGATCTATCTACTCGGAAAATACTGGACTACCAACTGACTGTTTTGTCTAGTGGATTCGCTGCCGAAGCCCCCGTGAAAGCGCTGCAGACGCTCTCGACCCAGGATGCCGCCTATAAGCCCACTATCGAGGAGGACAAGATCGTGACTGTGAATGGTGACTACGTTGGCCAGGAGCACTCTTTTTGAACAAGAAGATGCAGGAGACCTTTGCGAATTCTCTCCTACCACAGCTGGTTCTGAGGAACGTGTGCCGAACTTCGGTCGGCGACTATCTATAATAATGCAGAACAATGAGGCGCACACTTTGGATTATTGGCGAATCTGGATTCAATATATTCGAGGGACTTGAAATTTATGGAATTGGAGTTTATGGTTATGGGAATATGCGGATGTGATACTCAGGACTTGGGCAACTTATGCCGAGGGAGTGAATGGATGGTTTTGTTTACCTCGCAGGGATCTATTGTAATATATGAAATGGGTCAGCTATTGGGATCGGTTTTGAGATAAATCCCTCATAATATTTTCATTTGTTAACTGCTTAAGTGCTAAGTGCAATCCCTAGTCAATGTAAAAATAGTACTCCATGAGTTATACTCCGTACGTAAGGATGTCGATCATCCCCCGCTAGCGACTCGGTCCCCCGCTAGCGACTCGGTCCCCCGAAACGCGATCGCGTGGATCCGCAACTTTCCCCCCCAGGCCACCTCTCTCTCTCCACGGTGTCCATGCGTGTGCTTGTGCTTGTCTCTGCGCAGTTCCGGGGAATGCTGCACTTGAGATTGTTCGCTCTTTCATTCCTTCCATCATACTATTGAACCACGATCATTCGCTATGGCCCAGGAACACACCGTGACCAAGGTTCTCTTGGAATGGATCAACAGCTTCTCCTTGGGCAAAACACTCCGAGGCACGGATGAATTGACCGACGGCATTATCCTATGGGAGATTCTCCAGGATATCGACCCGCAATACTTTCTCGATGAGATCCCCGAACGCGATCCAGCCGACCATTGGGTTGCCAAATGGCAGAACTTGAAGCATATCCACAAGCTCCTGCTCAGTTACATTCGACACCAGAACGATGATACCCTCCCCTCCGGTCTCGACCCGTCGCCCGATCTCGAAGCCGTTGCTGAGAAAGCATCGACCAAGGAAACCAACAAGCTGCTGAAATTGCTCCTGATCGCCGCGATCAGCTCGCCTAACGCTGGGACCTACGTGCAGACTCTCCAGTCACTTACGACACCGACTCAGGAGGGACTCAAGGATATTATTGAGGAGGCGCATAACGGTCAACATGAACCCCTGGACGGGGTCGATGATCTCCCCGAGGAGTCTGCGAAGGCGGATCACCCCGTGGATCTGGAGCTGCAGTTTGAGGAACGCGTCGGAAAGGTGATCGCGGAGAACGACCGTCTGACACACGAGAAGAAGGAACTCGAGAAGGCGTTGGAGGATTTGCATAATCGCCTGGCGCGTCTCCAAGAGAACAATGATACCCTCCAGAACCGTTTGGCATCCACCGAGGATCGCCTGGTCACTTTAAAGTCTGGAAAGGGTGACTTGGGCTTCAATGCAAAGGCCCTTGAGAGCAAGACTCGCCAGCAGGACGATCTCATCGCGTCCCAAGAGGCCAAATTGAGTGCTGCCCAGGACGAGATCGACAGTCTCCGCATGACCGTGGAATCCTTAAAGGTCAAGAACCAGCGTTATCAGAAACTACAAGACGACTATGATGAGCTGCGCACCGAGAAAGAGCAATTGGCGCGAAAGGCAAACGCAGCAGAAAAGTATCGCCAGAAACTCCAAGCTAGCCAGGACTTTGAAAAGGAGAACCAGACCCTCAAGAACCAGATTAAAGACATCCAGCAGCAGCTGAAGGAATCAGACTCACAGCAACGATGGTCTTCAGAGCGAGAAGTCGAGCTGGAGGAGTACCGCAAGCTGCTCCCACGCATTGAACAAGAGTGCAATGAGATTCAAAACCTCAAGAAGCAACTTGAGTTCAACAACCACGCGCTGACAGAGCGACTTCAGAGTGCCGATGAGCAGCATGAACGAGACGACGCGTTGATTAGTGAGCTTCGCGAACGTCTGGGAGAGTTGGACGGTCTACCGGGCAGTCAGTCGCCGGGTTCCGAAACTCCAAAAATGCAAGGCACTCTGAATAAGGACTTTGAGGCAATTGGAATGAGAGAGTCACAGCTGTATGTTTTTTTTTCAATGCGGCAGATTGAATTACTTGCTGATTATGATGATAGGAAATCCGAGAATGAGGATTTGAAGCGAGAGATGGAATCGTTGAAAGCGCCGTCGACCGCTGTACGTATCTTGAGTGTAATTCAAAGACTACAATTGCTAATATTGACTAGCCCGAAGCGCAGTCCGAGATGTTCTCCGAGAGCTTCAATACATCCGTGGAACTCGCCCGTGCCAACTCCACGCAAAGGTACTTACGCGACTGTCCGACAAGGACCATAACAATGCTAACTAATAAATAGTGACGAGTACTGGAAGCTATACGAGAACTATACCGGGGCATTGAAGAAGATTGCCGAAATTCAAGATACCCTCGAAACCACCAAGAAGGACCTTGCCGATGCCCAAACTCAGAGTAAGCCGCACTTTCCTAACATCCACGCAGATCAAATCGCTAACAACAATAAAAGTCTCCCTCTTCTCAACTGAAAAGTCCGATCTCCTCCGCGAGCTTGAAGAACACAACTCTGCTGAACTGGCCAAGCTACGCAGCGAATGGGACAATCTCACCCAGAACGTGCACCACTTGGAAGCCGAAGTCGATGCCAGCCAGACTCTCGTGCGTGAAGTGTGCTCCGAGCGTGAAGAGCTGCGCAAGATGCTCGACACCAAGCAGAACGAAATCAGCGCCGAGGATCAGGAGGTGATGAATGAGATGCAGATGCTGCTCGGCGAATTTGAAATTGTGAACAGTGAGGGTGGTGAAATACCCCAGAAGTCCAGCTTTGAGCTGCTGAAGCAGTGTTCTGGTGTCCTGGAGAAGAACATTGAGCGACTGGCTCAGCGTGCAGAGGTAAGACCCAAATCTCTTTGGATCTGTGATTCTATTGTTGCAAAGGGTGACCACTAACATTCTCTACCCACGCAGTATATCCAACAGCAGAATGAGCTTATCAAGTCACTCCGGGAGAGCATGAAGAACTATGAAGAGAATCTGGATGATGGAATATCCCGGGAGCGTGAGGTACGTCCAACCCATATACGATCCTCCTTTCAAGTCAAGTCCATACTGACCTTTGCACAGATGGAACTCCAGAGAACCATCGACGACCAAGCCCGAGAACTCAGCCTCGTGAGCTCAGCCTGGTACCACCTCCAAAGCCGATGGCAAAACAACAACATGACCATCTCACGCTACCGCCACGGCGCAAACATGACCGATCCTCGTGGCTGGCTGGCTAAGCAGCGTAGTGTAGTTGCTGGCCAATGAACGCCTACGACTTGAAGCTGGAAGTCATCCATCCTCCGGACGGGTCTGGTTCACATTCCAACTCCCCATTCCCTTTTGGTACTTGATTGTCTTTTTCTTCTTTCTCTTTCTGTTCATAACCCCTAGATCGCCCTTATTCCTTCGAATTGTATGCTTTCAATTGCATATAGAATGGTTATCGTTTGATTGTTGATATCCCCCGTGGCGGTTTCTTTCTTTGGAAGGCCGTGGTTCCCTGTATAAATTTGTTTTGATATTCTTGTTTGTTACTTGGGGTTATTGTATACATTATGCTTGAAGAATATAAGACAGTGATTGTGATTCGAGATGGAACAGTTGGGATGTCTTTTTTCGAGTCCATAGATCTACGCCTACTTTAATTATCTTTACATAACCATGGGAATCTTGAAAGATGATGTAAACCAACCTGTCTTGTAGTATTTTCGCAGATATTAATTTTGTAATATACATAAAACCCCGAACAAGCCCAACTATGCTGAGCGAATGATACAATGTACAGAGATTTTAGACCAAGCAAGCAATCAGGAAAAACGAAACATGCAAAAACCAACCCTCAACAAATGGCACCCTCAAATCAAGCCCACTGTCTCGGGTGCTTCAGCACATCCATAATCTCCTTCTCACTAGTCTTATCCTCACCAAGATCCTCCTCATCAACGGGCATACTCTCAGTCCTAGTACCCGAGACAGGATCCATATACGCCCAGCTCGCGGTGCGGGGCAAACTCATCAAAATACTCTCAACCCGAGCATTAGGAGTTCGCAGACCGAAGCTAGTACCTCGATCATAGACGAGGTTAAACTCGACGTAACGACCACGGCGCAACTGTTGCCACTGCTTTTGCTCGGGGGTGTAGGACATATCCTTGCGCTTTTCGATGATGGGCACGTAAGAAGGGAGGAAAGAGGCTAGACCGTCCGACACAAAGGAGAACAGTGTTTCCTGCGGGTTGGACGAAGAACCGGCCGATGTTTGGAGGAAGTTTGCATCTAGATCGTCGAAGAAGATTCCGCCGACGCCGCGGCATTCACCGCGATGAGGGAGGTAGAAGTACTTGTCGCACCATGCCTTGAACTTGGGGTAATAAGTCGGATCATGGCGATCACAGGCATCTTTGATAGTCTTGTGGAAATGCTGCGCATCCTCGGGGAAAAGGTACGAAGGTGTCAAATCCGTACCACCACCAAACCACCAATTCTTATCACCATTGATAGGATCCTTTGGATCCGAGGTCTCGAAGTACCGGTAATTCAAATGCACCGTCGGAGCCATGGGGTTATGCGGGTGCAAGACGAGCGACAGACCCGCCGCAAAGAAACTCAAAGAATCAACGTCCGAACCAACGAACGATTTATGATCAGCGCGCATCTTTTCGATCGCCGGTCGTGGTAGTTCACCGTATACGACGGAGACGTTAACGCCGGCCTTTTCGAAGACATTTCCGTCTTGCAGGACACATGAAATGCCGCCGCCGCCATTGGGCCGCGTCCAGGTATCTTGCTTGAATTCCTTGCCGTCTATCCTGGCCAGTTCGGCGATAATCTTTTGCTGTTGGTGTTTGATGAGCTTTTCCATTCGCAGGCGCATGGGGGAGGACTCGGTGATTTCGGAGGATTGTTTCAGGGCTGCGTCTAGCTCGGCGATGGAGGGGGCGTCGAGGTCTGTGACTTCGCCGGTGGCCTGTAGCATATATCAGCATTTATACATACAAAAACCTATTTACAATTGCGTTTTCACAGGTATAATGCTTACCATAGAGTAAATGATCATCCCGATGAACGGCACACCAACTGCAAGACGCAGGTAAGGCCGCCACACGGTGAATTGCTGCTTCGGACGCGACGAGTTCTCAGTAGCATATCCGCGAACCGAGCTGCCCGCATTGCGACCAGCTATGCGACTAGTTCGGGGCGAGAGCTGAGCGAAGGACCTCCGCAGAGGCATGAATGATCGCGAAGCCATATTTCGGGACAGTGATCGGATGCGCGGAGGACCGGATGGAAGGTGAGAGGACAATTGCACCGGCTGGGACAATGCAGCCGTAAATGCAGGTCCTCTGGGTGTAGTATTTGAGAGAAAAGAAATGAACGTCCGATCGTCTCCGAAGAAAGCCGTTCGCGATCATGAAACTTGGTGATGGTACGAGTATCAGGCAATCCGAGGGTCTGTTTGCACTGTTTGCTTATCCGATAAGCCGCGACTTTCGAGGGGTTGTTGATTGGGCTGATCTCATTCTATGGACTAGAAGGAATCTTTGTTTATTTTGAAACCCGAATAAATAGAATATGTTTGTTATAGGAGAGTGAAAAGCATAAATCGTGTATGTATTGGACTATGCCCACTCGAGTAATGGCTAATGCAAATGCGATCGATCCTCATTCGAAGACTATGCTAATGCGCTAAGATGACTTTTTCGAAAACCGCAAGAAAAGCTGGACGCTGATGATATGAGATGTAATCGACTAGCGATTCATGATATATGGTATACCGAAAAAATACAAGAAAAGGACATTCGTTTGCGTTCCTTTCTTCATCTCATCGGCCTTTCATCGCGGTCCTCTATTCTCCTCATCCGAGGAAGGAAAAAAGATCGAATAAACTCCTCACTGAGCGGATCATAGGGGAAATAGGAATCCTCAGTGATTTCCCCAGGGCCTGAAAGCGGCCACGTCAAATCAGGAGTGGGGAGATTGAAGTAATTCGTCCAGACATTTCCATCTGGGACGGGTGCGGGTGGCGGACGATGTAAAAAGGGATTCATGTCTTCTGGGCGGAGCGTAAAGTAATCATTGGAGGAGGAGGAATGTCCTCCTCCATGGCTGTATGGAGCGATATGGGAAGAGATACTATTCTCGGCGAAACGCTCTTGCGGTCGTGGATGGGAAGGGAGATCGTCGGTGTTGTATTTCATGCCGCTGGCCAATTTTCGGAAACTCGAGTCGCAGAGTTGCCAGGCTCGTCGGGAACCGATGCTGCGATCGGACATGGCGTGGAACCAGCGTATTGATTTCTTTGCTAACCTGACGAAGCGGTCTTCGTCTTCGGGTATGTGGACGCTGCCAAAGGATAGTTCGAGGAGGATGACTGTTGTCGCCTGCATGAGATAGCGGAGGACGCACCACCATGGACAGATTCGGAAGAGTTGGAGGACGTCTGGTTCGTCGGGGAGTAAGCCAAGTAACCGTGAGGCTGAGTCTAGGGTGATAAGAGCCATCATATGGCTAAAGGTTGGTTGGGAATTTTGCTGGCGTGCGTCGCGTCGGCAAAGACAGGGGCGTCCGAGAGTGATTCGCGCGCTATAGTAGTGAAATGCCAGGATCAATTTGCAGCGAAGTTGATCGGGAGTGTCTTCGGCCTCGTCGTTTGTAAAGTCAATCACCGTCGGAAGACTTGTCTGCCAGGCATCTATGCGAGCGCGTAATTCATCGAGTCGCGCCTCAATCTCTGACCACGACAACATGACGCAATTGGTCGAGTAAACCTTATTGACAATCTCTTGAGTTATAATTGTCAAGTCGCAATGGTAAAGGTAGCAAAGACCGAAATTGGACGGCAGTTTCTTGAGCCATGTTTGGTCTCGAGGTCTGGACTTTTGAACATCTTCCCGGCTGCCCGATTGTCGGATCACGGCACTGGACATGACGTTGTTGATCAGCTCGTCTCTAAGAGCGGGGCTATTCAGCATTTCGATGGCCGTAGGGTCGTCTTGTAGTTGTTCTTCTTCGAAGGGAAGGGGTAAGGGTGTTGCGTATCCGCCGTCGAGAGTGTAGATTGCCCGGCCAGTCATGATGCCTAGCATGTGTTCGAAGGAGTATAGACACCACCAGACTTTGTACCGAGCTTCTTTGGAGATGTTGGGGGTAATGGAGCTGTTGTTCTTCAGGTTGATTCCGAGGGTAATGGCAGATCGGACGGCCAGGGCAGAGATTCTCCACGCCCTATTGTATGCTATTAGATAATGCTCACGGTATACTCCGTGGACAGGGTTTGTACAAACCTGTTGATTTGATCTGACGCAAGTAGATAGAATGCCATCAAGCTCTCAACCTGAACTTGCTGCAGGTCCGGGTGACTGAAGAGAACCTCAGAGTTGAGGCTAAGCAGTCGAGCCCGGGTCATATACACCAAATGATCATCGCAACCTCCTCGCCACGGAGCATTGATGAGGTGGGCATGCTTGGCCGCAATTGCAAATATAATATTCAGTATGGCAAGCCACTTATCACCCGGTCGAGGAGCGTTTGGCCTGATGAAGCTGTCGAAGAAGGTCTGGTATTGAGCGCGGAAGAGCGGTTTGCTGATGATAGGGAAGAAAGGGTGTACCGTGTCTAGATAATCGTCGAAAAGCCGATCAGCTAGATGTCGAGGGGGCATGTCGTATCGTTCCACTGGTTCGGAGACGGAGATGTCAAGGTCATCCAGATGATAGTTTAGTGCATGAAGCGCAAGTCCATCTCGTCCTTCTTCGTTCTTATCCTGATTAGATTCGGATTCCATGATTCCAGCATACCCGCGAGCCCGTTGCTCGGCTTCTCTTTGGACCCGTTGCATCCACGAGATCTCCGAGCTTTTCCCCATAAAACCCGTAGCTCGAGTATGCTCCGTCCGATTGAGATCTTCCTCTACTCGATCAATGGCCTCTAATGAACCAATCGATGAGTGAGGTGACCGCTCATCAGCGTCCATCTCATTCTGAGGTGTCGACAAACAAGACGGAGTATTGTCGAAGTACTGATCTCCTTTTAACCCATGCTTTCAAGACACAAAAATGACAGGTTAGCAGCCCACAGCCGACATATCAAGAACCATGAGATAGAAGCAGACACACCTTGTCCAGCAAGCTTTTGATCCATTCAGCCGTACGAGGGTCGGCCGTACTGCGCAGTGAATTGACGAAGTTCTCATAATCTTGAATCTCAGCATTGAGCTTGTCCACATCCCTATTTTGATAGGAAATACACCCCCATTAGTTAATCGATTGCAGTTCTTTTTAGTGTTTGTTTTTGCCAGCACGAGGATAGCGGAATTGGTTCGATTCGCCCACTTTTTCATCTTTTCCCTCCAACCCACAGGATAATGACAATTGATCCTCAGCTCACGACATTGTCGACAGACGGGGGTATCGCCGCTGCATTTCGTTTTGCGCTGCCTACACGACTCGCAAGCCCGGGGGACCCGTCGATTGTAGCGGGGTGCATGATTATTTGGTGGCTGGCGTGGAATTGCCACTTTGGCATTAGACGAAGCAGATGCATTTTGCGAACTTTGCGAGGATGTTAGAGCGGGAGTTGAGTTGGTCGTCCTTGTTGTTGTTCTCGTTGCTCCCCAAGTCGAAGTTCTGTCCTGAATGGAGGGCCGCTTCGGTGTTGCAGGGGCACTATGCGGCTCTGGTAGCGCCGTCGATACTTCATTTTGCGTAGACGCACCCTCCCCCGGCGATTTGGATGGTTGTTTTGCTGGTCTTTTGCCGGTCATGGACGCAGTCTGTCACATAGGCTCTAGCAAAAAAATTACTCGACTACGAGGGTGGTTGAACATTATCGCGATTAATTGCCAGTGCGACGCTTTTGCTTCGGTTTGAGATGCCGCCAATGAACGGGCGGGATTTGTAGATGCGCTGACCGGTGGGGATTCGAGCCCTAAATACAAACCACAACCAAGTAACCTCGTGGTAGGGGGCGGGAAGGGGAATGGATGATAGCTCTTATAAGATACAAGATTTTTCTCAATATGAGATCAATATGATTCAAAACAATCATAATTCAGTCGTGTCAACCAGTTCTGAGCACGAATCTTTTGTTGTAGCTCCCCTAAATCGAGGAAAATGACAGGAGCTAACCCGAGCACGCGGCTCAGAGGCATTTACAGGAAGCAAGGGAGGAAGGTTTAACACTAGATTTATGAGGTCCAAATTATAAGGGAAGGACCTTTATTACTCATTTTCAAAACCTTCTCGAAGACTTTCTGCGAATCGGCCACCACCCCAGCAAGCTGGTCCTAGCTTTTGGCCTGGATCCACTTTCGCGCCGTTCAGCATCCCTATGAAGGAAAAGGTAATGACAGGCATGTCAGGGCAATCTAGGATCCTAGCAGCAAAGTATAATCATCGATAGTACGAGAGATGTGCGTAGCAGCTTGGTATCTCGATACTTCTGTATTGAACTGCAGAATAGCTCTAACTATCTCCTAAACGGATGGACACGGAAGATGCAGGATGTCAAAAGTGTGAAGCACAAAATTCGATTGGTACGCGACGGGAGCAGCCGTGACTTGAGCTTTGTGATTGGTGGGTTGCAAGCCCAAGCTGAATCGGGATATCGCCTTTTGATTGGCGAGTTCCAAGGAGTAGATTATGTATCAAGTTCTCGTTGATGAACATTTTTTCCCCTTCTCCTCTTCAGAACCCACGGAGACCACTGATCGGCTGAGAAAATGTTTAGAAATTTACTCGATGCTTCAGCGAAGCGGACAATGAAAACCCACCGAGATTCGACGAAGCTTCTAATGTGTTCCTTGGCGGAAAAGGAATCCGGCAACCCGAGGAGAGCCGCCGAGAGGCAACAGTGAAATGACATATCAACAGCACGATGCTTCAATGTGCTATATCCCCAAAGTCGAGCATAAAAGCCGTAAAGTAATTTCGTCAGTATACAAAATTATTTTCTACATTCTAGTCATTGTTAGAGCATCCGGGGCCCAAAATCGAAAAATTGTGGGGAAGTACTGGATGACCTCACGTCTAGCAGCAGCGAGCTAGTTCAAGAGAGGGGGGCTTGTTGGTGGTCTATCCAATTGGCCCAGTAATCCCAAATGGAGAGAAAGTCTAGTCTCACAATTATACTTCTCTATATATATTTGCCTCAAGGTTTACTTGCACGCGGAGCCATTCGCTAGGCAGTCGGCGAACCTGTGCAGGTCCAAAATTTGCCGGAACGGAATTAGAAAGTGATATATTTGAGCTTTCTAGGTTTAACGGGCACCCTTTTCTTCCTCTCGTGTTTGGGCTGCTTCAAATGCCGTGGGGATCCTATTGCCATTGGATGTCAGTAGCAGGAACAGTGGCCATAGCGCTGGCGAGGTGATAGTTCTGACTTGAGCTTCCACCAGGAGGTTGTTCTCCTATATATTGGTCATGGCTTCAAAATAAAGAACTTTGATTGCCTGCTAAAGATGGGTGAGAGTACTTTCGTTGCTCTGAACGGTTTTATAAAGTCATTTTCAAACCTAGCAGAATCGCTAGTTTTGGATGAGCCGTATCAAGATATGAATCCCGGAATGACTTGGATTGATATCACTGGTAACGCTAGTAGATCTCTGGCCTTGTAGGCTTTCACTCATTGTGATTAATGGGGCAGACAAACAAACAGCCTCTAAACAACCGGTGGCTCTCTCCAAACAGGCGTAACCACATTGAAAAGACCTGTTGGAGACAGCGGGTTCCTGAATCCCCTGCTCATAGAATATTCGAGCAAGAGGCCGGTGGATTTCGATACCAACGGGCGGTAGCCGATTCTTCGCCTGAGGGTAATCTCGGGCTCGAAATGATCGAAACAATGATGGAACACCACGACTTGAGTATGTAGACATACCATAAGTGTGGAGTATACGGGAGGCTCCAGGATAACGCTAGACCAATTTCGGCAGGACAGAAATATAGCCAAGTCCTATTGTCGGGGCCTCGAGTTAATGATCACCAGGTGGCAGGTGTTGGATACATTTGACCAGGGATTTCATATCCGACCGGTATATCCCGCTGAGAGACGTGTTCTCCGAGTCCTATTCGTGTATTCGCAGTGTCCAGTCATGTCGGCAGAGATAGTGGTGGGGTATGTTTCGGCAGGACCCATGGCGATCGAGGATCTCTACTTGGAGAACACTTTCTCACTTTCACGTAGAATAATATCAGTATGACTGTTTTAATGAATCGTGAAATCGGTACCTCCATTTATAAGTAAACTGTATGAATCAAACAAGTATCTCAACCAGGGCGAGTGACCAGATCCACGTGAGGCAGACTCGTGACTCACCGCCTCGTGTGATGGTATCTTTACGGTAACGTCAGCGGGGGTTGCCTTTTGTCATCAGTCTCCCCCCTCTCCTTCTTCACTTCCACTCATCCATCGATCCATCGATCTTTCCTCGCCAGAATTTTGAACCTCCATCTAGCGCCAGCTATTTTTCACACCTTCATCTACTCCTGATCCCTCCTCTTTTTCCAACCACCCTCCTGGTCCTCCCTCTATCTCGCTCCACACCAAGACCCGCTTTACTTATCAGCTTATCGAGCTATCACCATGCGTTCCAAGTTCAAGGACGAGCACCCCTTCGAGAAGCGCAAGGCTGAGGCCGAGCGTATCCGCCAGAAGTATGCCGACAGGATCCCTGTAAGTGTCAACCCTTGTTGTGATGATGATGGGTTTCGCGGTGCTCGTGGACTGGTTGTCGTCGAGCTCCTCAGAGCCTCATCACCGCCTTATCGATCCCCCTCACCGCTCCTTCCGGTAGCTAACGGGTCCGCGTCTATCACAGGTGATCTGCGAAAAGGTCGAGAAGTCGGATATCGCTACCATCGACAAGAAGAAGTACCTCGTCCCAGCCGATCTCACCGTGGGCCAGTTCGTCTACGTGATCCGCAAGCGCATCAAGCTCTCCCCCGAGAAGGCCATCTTCATCTTCGTCGATGAGGTCCTGCCACCCACTGCTGCGCTCATGAGCAGCATCTACGAAGAGCACAAGGACGAGGATGGTTTCTTGTACATCACGTATGTTCCTTCCAGCACCCTTCAAAACTATCATCTTCTCTAGGCTGCAGGGATAAGGACATCAAGCTAACGACTTATCTACTAGATACTCCGGCGAGAACACCTTTGGCGACCTGTAAAGGTCACCCACACTTCTTCTGGTCACCTCGCAACTTGGCTCTGATTTCCTGTCTTGACTTCGTGATGGGTACACTATTTTGAAGGGGTTCAAGTGGTTATTGGTGGACGAGATTTGTTCTCTAAGGAGCCGTCCTTTTGTTGTTTTTCGGTCATGCGGCGTTCGTTCGGTGTTACACACATCTTCTGTTCCATCTTTGCTAGGCTTGGTTTGCCTGCTGGCTTGTTTTCTACATGAAAGTAAATGGAAATTGAGGGCTAGTCTTAAGCTCGCAATTTACGTCTTTTTGAAGTAGATTTTTGTCCTCTTGGCGCTCGCCTTGGCCTGTACAAGTCTCTCTAGTACCCGACTCGTAAGATGTACAGTATAAGCCCAGTCAGCTCTAGACTAAGCACAGCTAAGTCTAGTCTAACTACCATGTTCTGCGCGCCATGTTCTCGGCCCGGATGAACTAAATGGCCCCCACTGTAACCCAGCGTGTTTCACCACAGTCTAGTCCCAAATGCAATCGAGAGATCAACGGAGTATATATACTACAGAAGTATAAGTATGGCCCTCGACCCCTCCGAGACATCCTGATCAATTAATACATCTCCCCTGTGGGCTTTGCATCCTCCTCTTGCATTTGATCAACAAATCAAGCCTAGTCGCTAGCAATCTACAATCATGAGCCTCTCCAAGCTCACGAAGAAGACCCTAACAGTCGCCCGCGGCTTCACGTACACATACTACGTCTCCCCCGCCCGCGACTCCAAACCCTCAATCATCCTCCTCCACGGCTGGCCCGACTCAGCACGTCTCTGGTCCGGCCTCATAAACGACTACCTCCTCCCCCATGGCTACGGCATAATAGCCCCAGACTGCCTCGGCTACGGCGAAACTTCCAAGCCCACCGACCCCAAATTCTACTCGTGGCGTGACATGGCCACAGATGCCATCGAAATCCTCGATGCAGAGCAACTACCCTCCGTGATCGCCATCGGCCATGACTGGGGCAGTACTTTATCCACACGACTCTACAATTTCCACCCCACGCGCATACTAGGCGTGATAACGATCAATGTCGCCTACTTACCACCAATTGGACAATTCAATCTAGACGCTATGAACGACATGACCCGCCAACAATACGGCTACGGACTCCTGGAATACTGGCACCTGTTCACCTCGGACGATGGCATCAAACTTATGAACCAGAATCTCGAATCAGTGTATTGCATGGCGTTCGGCGATCCACGGACCTGGCTCGAAACGATGACCGCGCCGGGCGGTGCTGCCAAGTTCGTTGGTGAGGGGCGAATCCAGCCTACGCTGCCTTTTGCGACATCCGAGCATAAGAAGAATTTTATGGATCAGCTTCGTAAGGAGGGCGGCTTTGCGGCTCCGAGTTGTTGGTATAAGGCTTTTGCGTTTGGGGTGCAGGATGATGCGGATCGGCTGGTGCCGGAAGAGAATAAGCTTATTAGGGTACCTGTTTTGTATTGGGGTGGGGAGGGGGATGTTGTGGGCAGACCTGATCGATTGCAGTTACCTCTTGATATGGGGTTGTTGCCGGACGTTAAGAGTATTACGAGGGATGGGGGGCATTGGGCGTTGCTTGAACAGCCGGGTGTGTTTGGGGAGGATCTTTTGGGTTGGTTACAAGAGAGGTTTGCTTAGGATAGGCAAGGAGTTGTTAGATATTAGCTAGGTAGCTATGCTTGGGTGATTGATCGAGTTTGAGTAAATTACAATTTCCTTCAAAGTTGTATGAGATACCTGCGAAGCAAACCAGACAGTGCTCAAGACACTTATTTAGTTAGACTGGAGCCGATAAAACCTCGAAGACTGCGCTTCCGGCATCGTCTCCTGCAGTCCAGGCGAGGACGTCTCCCCAGATTCACCCGCAGTCTCACGTTTCGGAAGATCATAGCTCGAATCAGCCATTCGCTTCTTTCGACCAACAAATAACCACCGAAGTCCGCGCGCATTAGCCTTGACAAGATCCCATGGATTCATTGCATCAACCAGAGCTTTGAATCCCACTTTCCCACCATAATAACACTGGACACTATCCCCGGCTGTAGGATCCCGCGAAACAATGTATGGACGCCAGGGGAAACCCCAGAAATGCAGGAGTGCAAAGAGGCACATTTCGATGGAAATGAGGACATAGGGTAAAGCGTTGTTCCAGTCTTGAAGGACAACTTTGGCGGATGATTTGATTAAACCGGATGATGTTAGGAAGTCAATGATGGTCTGTAGATTGAATCTGTTGGTGATGTCCCTGGGCTTATTTGGAAATGGTACTTACCGATTGCCAGAAGGAAAGGAAAATGACTAGCTTGATGCAAAGGATCTTGATAAATGGTCGATGTTGTGCAATGTCGGTCTTTGTCTGAATATAGAATTGGATCAAGCAGTACATGGCAATAGTGACCGCTATAGACTCAATGATAAGGACCTATGTTACTGTGATTAGGGTTTCGAGACTTTGCCAAGAAGCTTGGAAGTAAGGCTTACCCAAACGTGTGCAAATGCTATATTATCAGAATCTTCGCAGTAGAGATTCTTAGACTCAGCAGCAACAGCAAGGATAGTCAGGAGTAGTCGTAGAAAGCAGTATTGGAAAACACCGATCCAAATCACCTTGCAAAGAGTTAGTTCTCACACTTGATACCCGCTCTTCGAGCATGCAAAGGGGTCTTGGACATACATTAAACCAAGTCAACCCACTTCGAGGCTTTCTCCAAGCCCGATTTTGACTACCAGTACATTTCTGCAACCAGGGAATAGGCCATACCCAATTGATAGGCTCAATATGACGGAAAAACTCCTTTTGATCATGCAGGTCAGGTGCAATATAAGAGCAGAGCAACGTGAAGAAAGAAGCGATAGCGAATGGCTCGTAACAGTAGCCGATAAGCTCAAAGTATACAGACCACTTGTAGAAATAAATGCACAAGAATGATGTAAGTGTGTAGATGGGTATCATAAACAGGATACGAATGATGCTGTGCGCTCGTTAGCTCAACTGCGATTAATAGACGAATTTCGAACCCGTAACTCACTATCTCTGCTCAGATGGCCTGCTATAATGCCTAGCATGGCCGAGGATAATAATTCCTGCTAGGAAGGCTGATATAACAAGACAAACAGCCGAAATAATCACACAAAGCGTGTGGAAGGTAATTCCACCATCCCAGAGGTCAACCTCCTGGACTAAAATGAGTTAGTTGGATCAAACAACCTCCGCGGAAAAAGTTTACTTTGCCTCACTTACTCGTTTCATGTTCCAACGTGGAATTGCATGATGGCCAGGTCATGTTGAAGTTCTCGTCAAAAAGCCACCGTACAGTAGCACCGAGGCAGCTAGACAGCAGTTTCCTGATCGACGAAAACCGCTCGGCCCCCTGAATCTCAGATTTAAGAATGAACCCTGGAGCCTGTTACGTATGGATAGGATAGACCGGATGCTTAGCAAAAAATTGTTCTCCCTTTTCGCATTTAGGGGCCACATGGTGATCCCAATCACGGTGATAGAAAGGCTTGTTTAGTGCGTGGGTGTGGGTCGCCGCGTAAGCCGCTTGGTGGGCCAGAAATTGGACTTTTTTATTTCTGAGCCTCTAGCAGTACATTTTTATGTATTGTGTATTGTGTTCCGGTGTGTAGCTTGATTGACATTTGATTTAGCTTTTTGATCAGATTAGGTCAATTAGATAGATTGTGTTGTGTAGATTTACTGAAAATGTGAGTGTTGATATGGCAACCCATGGTCGATGGTCCAAGCATGGTTGAAATGATATATTGATGTGTTCCTTCTAGATTTTGTGCTTCGTAAGAATATGCAATGGAATTTCTGAAATAATGATACCACTTGCGTCATCCTAAGAATCCTTGCAGTAAAATCCCCGCATGTTCGATTACGACGATTGATATCCAACCCCGCGGTGGCTACGGCAGGTTCTACCCAGGGAAATTTTGAAATCTTGACAAACCTCCAAAATCATTTACTTACCACTAATCACTAATCGAACAATAGATTGAGATGGTAGAAGTTGAGGAAGGCGAACCAGATTACCCTTGAATTAACCTGTCAAAAGAGTGGGGGTTCAAGCATTATTTCTGGTCGGGCTGTTTCCTAGGCCTCAGGATTCAGCCTTGTGAAATGCCAGACACATGCAGTAGTTGATTGTTGCTCCACTATATGAGCGAGCCTCGATTTTCATTCAGTGGAATCAGCGATGGGAAATACTTATAAGTTCATTATTGAGATTTGTCATTCTTATATAGATCGAAGGAACTAGATGAAGGGCAGTAGCGCTGGCGCTTTGTCGTGTTTAAAAAAAATTTGAGCCCCGTTATGTGATAAATGCCAATAAACAACATAGTGCCAAGGGGAAGAAAGACAGAAAAAGAAGAAAAAAACAGAGAGAAATAGAACGTAAGTATCTTCAGAAGACCGGTCGTTGGCACGTAACCTGCCAGCAGACATCAAGTCAGATCGACTATTTGCTGCTTCCTGAGAGAACACCCCTAGCACCAGGGATATTCCCTATTGTCATGTTTTGAACAGACTCAGCACCCTGAGCCAGCCCAGACCCTGCACTACTGGCACCCTCCTTCCCCTTCTCGAACAGACCGGTAGCAGGTCCCATATACGAACCTGAATCATCCTTGCCATTTCTCTCAGCTCTGTTGGCACCCTCCCTCGATGCGAACTGTCCAACTGGTGCCAAAAGTCCCTTGTCACCAATTTGATTTCCAACAAGGTTGGATGTGTCGTCTTGGATCTTGTCCACTTGGTCTATGCCCGTGACCTTTGTTTTGGAGAGAGTATCTACGTAAAAAGTCTTAGCTTCCGGGAAAGAACCTTCAGGACTGCAAGATATAACTTACCTTTTGTTGCATAGGACGCTTTGTTATCACCTTTTCCAAACCACTTCAGGTATTGATCTTCGATCCAGGGCACCCATTTCTCGTATTGGTCGTTGTAGATGTCCTTGGCCCACTCGGAATAAGTTTGTTTCTGGTCGGTTTGGGGTCTTCCATTGCCCAGAAAGGGTTTCGGGGTATTAGAAGGACTCATGTTGAGTGCTTTGATAACTGATAATGTATGATAGTAAAGATTTCTTGTGAGTTTACCGACTTATGACTTAAATGATTGCGTTGACATTTAATATACTCTAGAGACCTGCTGCGGCTTATGACGTCAGTGGCTCGGTGACGAGATATCAACCAAGTTGAATCAAATAGAAAGCTACAATGACATGGTATCACTCGCTCGTCTGGGCACAGATGATAATATGGAATATTCAAACGGGGTAGATAATTGGTAGGTGCTTTGCTGGCAGCGTTGCGCTGGTCAGGCGAAGAAGTATGCATAGTTGCACGTCGTGTTTCTGCCTCAGGCGCAAAGCTGTTATAGATAAGCATGTGTTGGGAGTAGGACGTGTTCTATGTGTATTGTTTTACTTGGTAAATGAAATCAGGCAAAAATTATGATACTTACTACTTGCACCAGAGTAGAGGCAATAGATCATTAACACAGTCTCATGGGTAGTAAATGGTTCTGCGCTTCAAGGAATAATTTTCTGATTTCTTTCCCTCAAGAATATATACGAGAAAGTCCTTAATGTAAATAGTCATGATAGCAGAAGTGTCGCCTAGAAATTCTATCACTAAATCTAAGCTTCTAGAATATTTTCATAGGTCTACAGTGTAAAGTGTATGGGCCCATATAATGTCCTAGTATAGTTAAGTTTTTGACCCGAACAGCTCCTCCGACTCCGGCTCCCAATTGGGACTAGCGGCCCACCCGAATCGCTCCGATAAAATTTACAGGCACATGTTCTCTCGTTCCTGGGGGAATCTCTTGGGTGTCTGGTTTCTGGTCTTTGTTCTTTGGTCTATTCCTTCGAGTCTCTCAACCCTTCGCAACCAAAAATGTCTCCTGCTATTGCCGCCGGTGCTGGCGCCGCCTCCAAGGATGTCAAGAGGGAATCCGCGACTGCTCGTCTTCTCGGTTCCGGTGAGATCAACAAATGACTCTTTCGACAAAAAAAAAGAGGTCGACACGCGACAAGTCAATCGCTAACGATATGACATTTTAGGCTGTGCTGGTATCGCCGAGTTGATGGTCTTCCACCCCGTACGATTCAATTGATCCCGGAACACTGTCCTGTCACATCACTGACTTGGGGTTCTCCCCCTTTGCAGGTCGATACCACGGCGAAGCGGTTGATGAGCAACCAGACCCGGGTAAGTATCCACCGGAAAATAATTGCGAGCGTGCGGACAGTCTCTAATAACCACTGTGTTAGATCGGCTCCGCCGCCGAGTTCAATAAGGTCGTCTTCAAGGAGTACGCCGATGCCACCGTCGGCCGCAAGTTCACCTCCCTCTTCCCCGGTCTGGGATACGCCGCTGGTTACAAGGTTAGTGATGGGATGGGATATCCGGTGGGAAAGCGTACAATCCGCTGACTCTTTTGAAAATAGGTCCTCCAGCGTATCTACAAGTACGGTGGTCAGCCCTTTGCCCGTGACTACCTCGCCCAGCATCACGGTGCCACCTTCGACAATGCCTTCGGAAAGGGAACTGGCAAGGCTATCATGCACGCAACTGCTGGCAGGTGAGATATACCCTCGGACGGACTGGGATAATATACTGGGTTGATTCTGACTTTTTGCGCTAGTTTGATCGGCATTGGAGAGATTGTCCTGCTTCCTCTGGACGTCCTGAAGATTAAGCGTCAGACTAACCCCGAGGCCTTCCGTGGCCGTGGTCTGTTCAAGATCATCTCCGATGAGGGTATGGGGTTGTACCGTGGTGCCGGTTGGACTGCCGCTCGTAACGCCCCCGGATCTTTCGCTGTAAGTTATCTTTGTTGCTGTCCACTTCCAGACCCCAATACTAATCATCTTCTACTTAGCTCTTCGGTGGTTCCGCTTTCGCCAAGGAGTATATCTACAAACTGAAGGACTACAACGCCGCCTCCTGGTCTCAGAACTTCGTCGCCTCCATCTGCGGTGCTAGCGCCTCCCTGGTCGTCTCCGCCCCTCTCGACGTGATCAAGACCCGTATCCAGAACCGTAACTTCGAGCACCCCGAGTCCGGCTTCCGCATCGTTTCCAACATGATGAAGCACGAGGGCTTCCCCTCCTTCTTCAAGGGTCTCACCCCCAAGCTCCTCATGACCGGTCCCAAGCTGGTCTTCAGCTTCTGGCTCGCTCAGACCCTGATCCCTGCCTTTGGCCAGGTTGTATAGACGGGGAAATGAAATACAAGGCCAAGATAACTTGATGAGTTCTTTATAGCCGCGGCGTTCTTCGACACTCTCCTCTTTCACCCCGACATCTTCTTCTGATCTCTTCTTCTGATCTCCTTTTTCTTTCCCGGCGTCTTTGTCCCTGGTGCGGGCCTTTTTGTCGTGGCCCAGCCTTTTACTGGACCGCTTGTGTATTTTTTTTCCCTCATAGATATGGTTTATTTGCGACGGGGTCTAGTTTACAGTTAAGAAGAATCAAAACTCCTCCATCTCTACTAGGCAACAAAGGCTTCATAATATCAATCTAGAATTGTTCAAAGGAGAACTGTATTAGGCAATTCGTGGACATGACGCCGAACTCATCAAGCATCATATCACGTGACTCCATCGCTCCATCTTCAAACCAGACCACCACCGCGTAGCCCCGACACTAATACCTCCACGCCCAAGCAAAGTCTACCAAGATGACCGTTTACCTTCTCTCAAAGTATGTGCCAATACACTCCCCATCCAACAACTCGAAACCTAGCAAAATCCCGCATGAATTACCCGGCTTCAATTCCAATCCGCGATCCCTCCAACAACCTACCTCCCGAACATCCCTTCCCCCCAAACACCAAATACACCTTGACATAACTAACTAACCCTCCCACTCTCCCAAATAGAATCGGTGACCCCATCTTCGCCGTAACAATGGGCATCGCAGCCTCCCTCTCCCGCATCCGCCGCGAACAAATCGAGCAGAATCCCGAGAAAGCATCGGAGATTGGATACGGGACTGTTGTGTCATTGGGGCAACGGCGGTTGCAGAGGTGGTGGAATGGGGATTTTAAGGATCTTTGAATGGATTGATATGCACTACACTGTCGCATAGGAAAGTAGCGCTCTTTGGGTGCGGATCGCAAGGACTGGACTACACTACACTACACTGCATATATTTCCCATCCTGGTCTGGGGTTGATATTTGGGAATTTGGGGTTTTGGTGTTACTCTGTATTTTGCTGGATTATGGGCCGAGGTTTAATTGATTGATTGATTGATACCTAAATGTTGAAGCGAAGCTTTCGCTATTCAGATTTCTCATGGCAGTTTGACAAAAGCATATTGCAAGCTAGATATAACACCAAATGAGAGGGGGTAGTCTCGGTTGAGCTTGGCTGTTGTTACAAGAATTCCCCTACGAAACCCCTGCAAACACTTTTTGCTAAGACTGTCAGCTACTCAAGGCATATACGTAGATATTTCGGCCATGATGATCATGGATTGCATTTTATGTCTACGGAGTGTAGTGTTAACATATGTAAACCTCATGCTTGAGTATTGGTATCAACTATATGTAAATATTCTATCTCTATATGGCCTTGACTAGGCATATGTCTTCCAAAGTAAAACCACCCTTCTATTCAGTTATAAAAAGCAAGCACCAACTAAACAAAACACCAACCTCAACCCAACCCTCCTCTACACCTTAGCCTGACCCTCACCCAAAACCCTCAAAAGCCCCTCATACGCCTCCCCAATAGCCTTTGCTTCCTCCTCCCAAAACTCCATCCCCTCCCCCTGCTCACCACCAACCATCTTCAACCCAATATCCTCCCCCCTCACAGCTTTACCAAGCACATCTCTCCCAGGAAACCTCAACTCGACCCCCCCTTCCACAATCATTTTAACCCCCTCCAAAACCTCCCTCAACTGCCTATTACACTTCCCACCCCCATGACCCCCATAACTAACCACAAACGCAGGCTTCCCACTCCACTCATGGTAAAGGTAATCAATCGCGTTCTTGACTACGGCCGGATACCCCCAGTTATATTGGGGGACGGCGAAGATGAAGGCGGCGTAGGAGGTTATTTCTGCGGACCAGGCGCGAGTGTGCTCGTGGGAGTACTCGGAGGGGTGTTTGATTTGGCTGGGGATGGTGGGTTCGTTGAAGAATGGGAGGGGGTGGGTGGAGAGGTCGATTAGGGAGAGCTGGGGTGTTGGGATGGGAAGGGAGGTGGTGGGATGGGTAAGGGGGTGAGGGATTGTTTGGATTTGATTGTGTCGAGGACGAATTGAGCGATTTGAGGGCAGACGCGGGGTTGTCTGGTGCTGCAGATTATAATGCCGATTTTTGGGGGACTGATTGAGTTGGTTGGAGTGGACATTGTTTGTAGATTATTTGATAGATGGAAGATGATAAAGACGTTTCTCGTGGAGCTTGTTGTTCGAAGACGATTGAGAAAGAGTTGCTTGATTCTGAATTGATGCCTGGAATAAAGGAGAATTATGATTGCCATCTCTCCAGCTTTATACTATCGATTCACTCCAAATCTTAATATTGAATACTTCAAATTCCCATCTCTGGCCTAATTGGGAATCCTCCTCCGCGGGTCACTCCGCGGGCCCGCGGGCCAGACATCAGGAAGCCTTGTTCGCTGTTAATAAAGCTTCGTCCTCTAAGTATAATCCTAGAATCCAAATATAGACTCGAATAAAAATTCAGATAAGACTGGAGACTTACATTGTTGCCTATGACTGTCATCGTTGGGGGTCAGTGAATGGCCCTGCTGGGCTGGCTCTCCTGGGGATATTTCCTAATGCCTCCCTCATTCACAACCAAGACAATGGACTAGTCCCATCATATCATATGGACGGGCCAAGAAGACCATCAGTCGGATTAAACTAGACAATAGGAGGAAAAGACACATCTGATAAGTTATGCTCAATGTGCTTGGCTGGTGTGAGGAAAGAACCCATCAACCTTCAAGCCATACCTAATATGTTCGACAGAAAAAGGGTATTACGTCTCTACGATCTACTCATTCTGCAGGAGAAACAGTTTGAATTAATATGAAATTTTGATTGGTATCGCCAGGACTTTTCCCAGCCGAGATAACCTTGTATCTATGCAATCACTCGCGAAAATAAAGAAAAAACTCGATGTCCCATAAGTTCGTAAAACAAGGCATGAAAAAAGAAAAAAGCTCCGAGCCAGATCACCCCAACAGTCGATTGGATGATCAACCAAGTTTAAGGGGCAAAAACCAAGTGCCATGAAAATCAAAGAGGATCCTCAAAGCGAGACATTTAGTCAAGCTCCTCGGGCTTCTCCTCAACATCATCGGCGGAGCGGGGAGCAGCGCCGGGGGCGCCACCGGGGGCAGCACCGCCGTAGGCAGCGGAGATGATGGGGTTGGCAACACCCTCAAGCTCCTTCTGCTGGGACTCGTACTCGTCCTTCTCGGCAGTCTGGTTGTTGTCGAGCCAAGAGATGACCTCGTTGATCTTGTCATCAACCTTCTTCTTGTCCTCCTCGGAGATCTGGAGCTTGCCCTCGGACAGAGTGTTCTTGAGGGAGTAGGCGTAGGACTCGAGACCGTTCTTGGCCTGGATACGGCCAGCCTCAGCCTCATCCTCGGCCTTGTACTTCTCGGCCTCAGCGAGCATGCGCTCGATCTCCTCCTTGGACAGACGGCCCTTGTCGTTGGTGATGGTGATCTTGTTGGTCTTACCGGTGCCCTTCTCGACAGCGGAGACGTTCATGATACCGTTGGCATCAAGATCGAAGATGACCTCAATCTGGGGAACACCACGGGGGGCGGGGGGAATGCCAGTGAGCTCGAACTTGCCGAGCAGGTTGTTGTCCTTGGTGCGGGCACGCTCACCCTCGAAGACCTGGATCAGGACACCGGGCTGGTTGTCGGAGTAGGTGGAGAAGGTCTCGGACTTCTTGGTGGGAATGGTGGTGTTGCGCTTGATGAGAGGGGTCATGACACCACCAGCAGTCTCGATACCGAGGGACAGAGGAGCAACGTCGAGCAGGAGGATCTCGTTGGTGGACTTGGAGGAAGTGTCACCGGACAGGATAGCGGCCTGGACGGCGGCACCGTAGGCAACGGCCTCATCGGGGTTGATGGACTTGTTAGCGTCCTTGTTAAAGAAGTCGGAGACGAGCTTCTGAATCTTGGGAATACGGGTGGAACCACCGACGAGGACGATCTCGTGGACGGAGGCCTTGTCGATCTTGGCGTCACGGAGGACACGCTCAACGGGCTCCATAGTGGAGCGGAAGAGGTCCTGGCAGAGCTCCTCGAAACGGGCACGGGTGATGGAGGTGTAGAAGTCAATACCCTCGAACAGGGAGTCGATCTCGATGGAGGTCTGGGCAGCAGAAGAGAGGGTGCGCTTGGCACGCTCGCAAGCGGTGCGGAGACGGCGGAGAGCACGGGCGTTGGAGGTCAGGTCCTTCTTGTGCTTGCGCTTGAACTCGTTGACGAAGTGGTTGACGAGACGGTTATCGAAGTCCTCACCACCCAAGTGAGTGTCACCAGCAGTGGACTTGACCTCGAAGATACCCTCCTCGATGGTAAGGAGAGACACATCGAAGGTACCACCACCCAGATCGAAGATCAGGACATTGCGCTCACCCTCAACCTTCTTGTCAAGACCGTAGGCAATAGCGGCAGCGGTGGGCTCGTTGATGATACGGAGGACGTTGAGACCGGCAATGAGACCAGCATCCTTGGTAGCCTGACGCTGAGAGTCGTTGAAGTAGGCGGGGACAGTGATGACAGCGTTGTTGACGGTGCCACCGAGGTAAGCCTCAGCGGTCTCACGCATCTTGACGAGGATCATGGCAGAGACCTCCTCGGGGGTGAACTGCTTGGCCTCACCCTTGAACTCAACCTCGATGATGGGCTTGGTGGCCTTGTCAACGACCTTGAAGGGCCAGTGCTTCATATCGGCCTGGACCTCAGCGTCCTCAAAACGACGACCGATCAGACGCTTGGCGTCGAAGACGGTGTTGTGAGGGTTCATGGCGACCTGGTTCTTGGCGGCATCACCGATGAGACGCTCGCTGTCGGTGAAAGCGACGAACGAGGGGGGTGGTGCGGTTACCCTGGTCATTGGCGATGATCTCGATGCGGTCATCACGGAACACACCCACACAGGAGTAGGTGGTACCCAAATCGATACCGACAGCGGGAGCCATTGTGAATGTGTATGTGTGTGAAGGAGGTCGTAAGGAAAGGAAACTCGTGAAGTTGGTAGTGGGTAGTGTACAGGAGAAGAAGTTTGGGATGAGGGAGGAGAGAGAATTAAAAGGTAAAGTGAAGTCTGGAAGGGAAAAAAAAAGAAAGAGGCAGGAGGTGTGGGCAGCGAAATACTGCTATATAGTGAGCGGTGTATTGTTCAGAAGCTTCTAGCAGGTGAGCTTCCATGGGCATCCATCGGGTTCCATGACCTTCTCTGCCCCAGCAACAGCCAGTCTACGCCTTTCTGGAGGCCAGCCGGGCCTTCCAGATGGGTCTAGTGGGGGCTATGCATTACTACAAGCTACATGAAGGCCCAAGACTCTTCGCGAATGAACTCAATTGGGCTTTGGTTCCTTTGGGATTCTTTCATTGTTGACGCTTTGGTCGAAAATTTTTGGTGGGGCAAGGGAATGATGTAATCGATGGTGGGATGACTTTGTCCCTCTTCATTGTGACACTCTGTATTGGTCCGGTATGTTACAGACGGATGTAACAGCCACAGGTGAGAAATTGGTGAGTCATAAGTGTAATAGTATGGTCACCACTTGAGGGCGTCATGATGAATTCATGGACTCCACAGCCACTCAACACAATAAGACCGACTCACGTGCAGATAGTCACGTGCTATTTAAGGCCTCAAAGACAGGGCACCAAGTTTCTGCAACCTTGACACCTCAGGCAATAAGGCTTCTAAAGCAATGAGGCATCAAGGCCCCAACTTCCCAAGACAAGCCACGCAGCCGTGCCAGGACACTAAATCCTTAAACTCTCATCTTGCGTACAGCACTTTAACCTTCACAGCGCCACAAATAAACCTTTCGGATATTCCTGCCGGATACTGTAGATTGACTAAGAATGATCATATAACTAACTAGCTAACTAGTTGCTTTTCTCTCTCAATACTAAACAATGAAAGAAACAACCATCAAAGAGCCGTTGTTCCATACTGAGTAGAACTGGATACGGAGTACTACAGCAACAGAAAAACTACACGTGCCCTCTTGGTGTCACCCCGAGCTCCCAGTGACACATAGAAATCCCAATCTACAAACCCAAGACCCAATAATCATGCACATCAGACCACCATAATCCTGGATCTTCCCAGTCTCATGAACGGATTTTTATCTGGACTCGTACTTTCAGGAAAACGCCCGCGGCACTAACCGCCCCTGGGCGCTCCGGGCTGATAACGCCATCCGCGCTAGGCATGACTGGCCACTGGAGTTTATTCTTCTTTATTTCGATCCAAGCTGCTCAAGCTTTCTTGGCCGGTTGGGTATTCATGGGCACGCGTTCAATGTAACACTCCGCACATTAGTCTCAATCCTGACCCTCGAATTCAGCTTGTCCATTGGTCAAATCCTCAATTGCCCCTCTCAAGGACTATCGAGAATCGGTGTGTCCGTCGGACAATCTTCGCTGTTTCCGAATGGCGAAGAGACAATGGGGTCGCACGCCATGGTGCAGGACAGTGCAGTGCAGAATTTGTAAATAATGTTTTATAAAAAGAAAATGTCTTTCCCTCGCCCTTGCCTGGCCCAGTCCATCTTCTGCTCCTCCCTCCCCGCCACCTGCTGGAATCTAAGCTCGCAGAGACAGACGGTCTCTCTTCCAGCTTTTGTACAAGATGGCGTTCTTGAGTGCGTTCAAGCGAAGGCGCCAGGCCGGAGAGACGGAGGAATCCACCGTGACGGTCGCGGAAGATCATGTCGAGATGCCCTCTCCCTCGAAGGATAAACTGGACGGTACCATTATGGATGAGGAAACGATAAAGGCTCAGGGCGAGACCGCGGCTATCGAGCAAGAAAGTCACGACAACCCCGAAATCGCCGCGCTGCCCTTGCAAGTGCGCCAACTGATCAACTTGACGGACGACCCGACCCTACCGACCATCACCTTCCGGTACTTTGTGTTGGCCGCTCTCTTTGTTATTCCCGGCGCTTTTCTATCCCAGATGAGCTATTTCCGAACCACAAAAGCTCCATACTCTGTCTTCTTTGTTCAGATCGCCTGTCACTATGCTGGTCACTTCTTGGCTAGAACCTTGCCCGCGTGGAATATTCGAGTGCCCGGAACGAGCTGGGGATTCAGCTTGAACCCGGGACCCTGGAGCATCAAGGAACATGTGTTAGTTACTGTGACAGCGGCTTCTGGTGCGACTTATAACCTAGGATACGCTCCTATTGTACTTGCAGAGCTTTGGTATGGAGAGCGGATTAACCCTGCTGTGGCTATCTTCTTCATGCTTTCCATTGTGTGGATCGGATACGCTTTTGCGGCCCTGGCACGAAATATTCTCCTGCCGGATCCTGAGTATATTTGGCCCCAGGCTCTGATGCAGACCACACTTTTCGAAACGTTCCGCAAGACAGATGCCTCCTCACGCCTTGCAAGACGCCAAATGAAGGTCTTCTTCTTTGCTCTGTTGGGAATGACGCTATGGCAATTCCTTCCAGAGTATGCATTCCCGTTTACCTCCTCGCTGGCCTTTCTGTGTTGGGTTGCGCCGCGGAACCCTGTGGCCAACTTTATTGGGTCTGGATTGGGAGGCATGGGCTTCCTCAACCTTTCCCTGGATTGGTCAAACATCAACTGGAACGGATCTTCCATCATGTTGACCCCCTGGTGGACTCAAGTTCTCCTGTTCCTGGCCTTTGCCTTCAACTGTTGGGTTCTCATTCCTGCTGCGAAGTGGGGAAATATGGGCTCTTTCAAGCATGGCATCATGTCCAATAGCTTGATGTTGGCCAATGGTACCACTTATCCAACTGCAAAGGTGCTCACGCCCGACTATCACCTCAACCAGACTGCGTACGAGCACTACGGACCTATGTACATGGGTGTGCAGAACGTGTGGGCGACCTTCTTCGATTACGCCAAGCTTCCAGCTGCGATTACCTGGATTGCGACGTTTGGCTTCTCACAAGTCAGCTCGAATCTGAAGAAGATCCTTGAAACCCGCAGGACAGCCAAGGCGGCCAAGGCTGCTGGAAACCAGAGTGAAGGTCAGGGTATTCACCACGCATATCATGATCGCCTGAATGTGATTCAGAGACAATACAAGGAGATCCCATTGTGGTGGTACTTTGTTCTGTTCCTGGCCGGATTTATTATCCTGATCACTTGTATCGCGTGCGGATACCTCTTCATTCCTATCTGGACCTTGTTCGTGGCCCTGTCTAGTGCGGCCGTCTTCGTCATCCCCTTCGCCTGGCTGTACGCGATCTCGAACTACCAGCTCGAGACCGGCTCATTCAATGAGCTGATGTATGGCTACATGGTGCACACCAAAGCAGGCTCGGGCCACCAGCACCCATGCGGCCCCTCCGTATACGGATCCATCGCCGGAGATGCCTGGTATCGCGCGCAGTATATGTTGCAGGACCAGAAGATCGGGCACTACATGCATATCCCACCACGAGAGATCTTTTTCTCCCAGATCTTTGGTGTCTGCATGGGTGTTCCTATCAACTACGCCGTCATTCGGTGGATCATGGATACCAAGGGTGACTACATCACCGGCAAGAAAACAGATCCTCTCAACCAGTGGACCGGCCAGAGTCTTCGCAATTCGAACACGATGGGTGTCCAGTACGCTATCCTAGGACCGAAGCGACTCTTCGCTGAAGCCGAGATGGCGCCGCTGCCATGGTCGTTCCTCGTGGGAGCCGTCATCCCGCCCATCCTCTACATCTTCCACCGATTTTTCCCGCGGCTGCGCATTGATCTGTGGAACGTCAGTATTTTCTTCGGAGGTCTGGCGATGTTCTACGGAAATGTCAGCACTGGCTATACGTCGGCTATCATCGGCGGGTATGTTGTGATGTACTGGGCGTACCGAAAACACTTTGAGGTGTGGAAGCGCTATAATTATCTGGTTGCGGCGGCATTTGATGCTGGATTCAACTTGAACATGTTGCTCATCTTTTTCTTCTTTGGTGCTGGCAAGCAGATCTCGATGCCGAATTGGTGGGGGAATAGAAGCGAGTCGGTTGAACGGTGTTTTGCACTGGAGAGCTGGTGAATGGCGCCATGCTTGACCAAAAATATGGGTATTCGTTGCTATAAGGTTCACAAATATATTACAACCCTTCTTTACATCTTTCAAAGTCCTTGTAAATTAGTAGCCACTCACCTAGTAGTTCATGCATGTAATTATCCGTCGAGTCTAGGCATCCACCAGTGTATGCCTGAGGCTCCTGGGTCCGAGCCCCACTGCGGCGAATCACATCACGGGATCGAGGCGTCCCTTACTGTTGCAGGTTGTTTTGGTTGGAGAGCTACACCTTGCAGACCGTCTCTTTTAAATCCTCCCTTTTCCACTCTCCCTCCTTCTCTCCTCCAATCCACTCTTTCTACATCTATCCACTTCACAATCACAAACTCTTCTATCATGGGTGACCACGCTACCATCAACGACCCCTCCGCTACCGGTGCCGCCTTCGCGGAGAAGGGCAAGGCCAAGGCCCAAGAGCCCGAGCTGAGCATGGACGAGGACACCGAGTCTGAGTCTGAGAACGGTGATGAGATGGTATGTTTACCTTGCGCATTACCCGTTACCTTGGATTGTATGATCCATCATCATCAGGAACCTTTTACTGACTCGTTGCAATAGGTTGACAACGGTACACAACCCCTCCTCTATCCCCCACCTACATCCTACCACCATTACTGTCCATTTTGCCCTGGCGTTGTGCCGTCATGACCCAATGGGTTAACGCGCCATGGGTTATCCGCGTCGCGATCCCTCAACGCTCTCACCATACCCATACCTCCCCAATTAATACAATACTAACACACCACTACAGACGAGGAGGAAGTCGACGACAACCTGGAACCCATCTCTGAAGCCAACATCATCTCCGGTGGCCGCCGCACCCGCGGCAAGACCATCGACTGGGAGCAAGTGCGCAGCAAGACCTCCGACGAGATGGAGGAGGACGAAGATGACGACGAGGACTACCAGGGTGGCGCTAATGACGACGACCAGATGCACGACTAAGCGCCGCCAGTCGCCATGAAAGCTCAAGCTCTGAATGATAAATGACTGGACTGTGCTTTGGAGGATCGGCGCTTAGGTGGAATGGGTGGCTCTCTCTCGGTCGTGTCTTCAGAGCATGTTCTTCTCCTTCTCGCTTTTTTCTTGAAGCTTGCGGGCGCGTCCGTTCTCAATTGAGCATGGATGGTTTTCCCGGGCAGGCTTTGAGAATTGGGCTCTTGCGCTGCTTGTACAGCGATGACTATGACTCAATGAAGCTCGCTTGATTTTAAAATTTGTTTTCTGGCTCAGACTAATATATGTGTTTCTGAGTGATGGTGCTAGAAACCTATTCGTTATAGATGGTAGTTGTAGATCCGTAGAACTATATTGACTTAGACTGGATCCATAACACTCAACGATATGACACTACCCACCAAACCTGGTCATATCTACACAATGCAAATAAACCATCACAATATCCATAACCAAAATTCACATAACCAATTCAGACCCTCCCTCACATACAAGAAGTAAACAAAAAAAACCACCCCCATCACGTGCATCCGGCTCGGTCTCGGCCACTATTACGCTTTGGCCACCTGTGTTTTTGTGCTCCGCAAGCATCAAAAGAAAGCACCAACCACACCTCAACAAGCCAACATCTGGTTTCCCAGCAATCCCGCAATGTCCTCATTCAACTAGACACATACGCCGAAACGATCAACTGAACTGACGACACCACATAATACCGCGGTTCTTTGAACCACACGCTACGATTCCGTTATGGCTTCACGGTATGATATACTCTTAGCCGGTTCTCTCCCCTTCCTTTGCAGGACAGATCTGCGCACTTGGACTGGACTCAAACTCGGGCTCGAAATCAAAAATTTAGCTAACATGGCCTTCTATTGCGAGCAGATTCCCACGCCAACGAGATCCTCGCTCTTCCTCCTCCCTCTTCGACTCCTATGGTGGCGGCGACTCACGTCCCGCGAGTAGATCCCCTGCTCCGGCGGGTGGATATGGGTATGGAGGGTATGCGGGACCAGCAGTGAATGCTTATCCCAATGGGAATGGGAATGGCAGCGCGAGTTTTCGGAGTGCGACGCCTGATAAGAAGTACGTCATTTCTTTTCCAGGATCCAGGGAATGAAGGAGGAGTGTCCATTTGGACGACACTGCTTTTGTTACGGCTTGGGTTGGATATAGTCTAATCCGTTGTTGTAGGGGCCACTATTCCGATGCTGTGCTCTCTTCGCTTGAATCGCAAAATGATGCTGAGGTGGAGGGTATTACTGCTAAAGTGAAGATGTTGAAAGATGTAAGCATCTCCCAGACTGCTGCCGCATCCCCAGAATAAGAGCAAACAAGCCCCGGTTCTATAGTCATGTACTAATTTTCTTTGGTTCTAGATGACGATAGCCATCGGCGACGAAATTCGCGATACTACATACCTAAACACCCTCGAGAATTCCTTCGAGAGTACCCGTGTACGGCTCCGCGGGAATATGAACCGCATGCTGCGCATGGCGGAGCGTACTGGTGTCGGGTGGAGAGTCTGGTTGGGCTTTTTCGCTGCTGTTTTCTTCTTGTTCTTCTATGTCTGGTTGTTCTAGGGGATTATACGCTTTCGCAGCACGCTCAAGCTGCGCTTTATATGCAGGGGCTTTTGGGTCTTGCGGTTTATTTAATTTGTTGATGGGGATTTGGTGGAAGAGGTGTGAGCTGCTGCTACGACGACTGGTGGCTTGCCGTTGCACTTGGGAATGGCAAGGCATACTCCTAAGCTGATTCTTACTTGCATGATTTTCAATTGGCCGCGGCGTTTGGGTTGTTATCTTTGTTTCTCTGTGAACTCGTGGTTGGAACTCGCCACGAGCCCTTTGATTCTTCTTTGGTTACATGCTGTCTTGGTCCTGTCCAGCTTCTTGCGCTGTATCGGTGCCAACTTGCCCACAAGATGCTGGTGCAGTGTTTGCAAGCTTCGACTGGCTAGAAGATCGGGTTGCTGGCCTTCGAGGATGTATAAGTATATAATAATGGGATTTGCACATAGAGCGGCCGCTCTGGAACTACATTGGAGTAGAATCATGTCCATTTCTTCTAGTATGTTCTCTTTTCTGCATCTATCTTGCCTCCGTGACTGCTTGATTCACTCAGACTTAACATATGAGAAAATTGAATACTTGCTGGATGTTCATCTCTGTCATGCCCGATGATGCTACTCCGAGTCTTCAAGTCATGAGCCTTACCACTCTCTGAGAGCCACTCATCCTACCTGAATTCCCATGATCACTTCCTCAATTTGAGACAAGATATGAACGTGGTAGGTTTCCATGTGGAAGCGTGGCCGCGTCGTTCCTCCAAAGTGAAACGTGAGATGCACAATCGAACCAACACATGGGTCTCAAACCTTTCATATGGTTCACTTGGTGGAACATGGCTGAGGGATCACACCCCTTCTAGATCGTATACTACCACTAGCTGCCATGATACAACTGCAAACCCCTTAAGTATAAAACCTCGAATCAAGAGCTCGATGCTCGTCAAACCCTGAACATAGCGGTCAGGAGGGCTTCTATATCCTGATAACTTTAATAGTTTTTACGAGCATGTGATACCTGTACAGCAGCGTGTCCGAACAAGGCTTTCTTGGGATATTAAAGTCATCTACAGACTTGAGAACCGGCTTCTATACAACAACAACAGGGGTCATATCTCAATCCGAGTTCAACCAAGCATCACACACCAAGTCAATTTCCTCATTCTGTGTCAACCATGTCTGCGACAAACTCTCAATCAGGCATCAACACCGACCCCGAAGCTGGCAGTCAAAGTCGAAATAGAATTGAAACAGCTCAATACTTCGTCGGCAAGACTGCAAGTCTCAATATTCTCAAGACCAGTGTACAGCCCGATGGCCAAATCATTGACTGGATCCCCATTGAATCCCAGGGAGAGATAGCTTCCCCTCCACCTCTCCCTGCATTTCCTTTCCATCCATCCCCCAATACCAAAGTCACCTCCGAGCCCGATTGCCAGCAGGCAACCGGCCCTCTCTTTTCGCTCGAGATGGAAGGCGCCGAGAAAGGGCCCGGTGGAACAGTACCAATTCTACGACAAGACCTGAAACTCTTAAGCAACAAGCCAACCTTGACACAACGCCTAAGCGAAACAGCCCCCTCCACCAAGGGAAAAAGAAAGCTTCAGTCCATGGCCACACTGGTACGCCAGGGCTAGACAATCAACAACATCGGCACCCGCAGAGACTTCAGTTGCTACAAAGCCGCAGTCCAAAACAGACAAGATTTCTCATTTCTCCAAACAGCAGTCATAAAAACCAACGTTCCCACACCGGGTAATCCTTCTGAACCTTGTGACCAGACTATCGAGGTTGGATGGATCATTTATCCCGCCCAAGTTGCCCATCCTCATTCATTCACCTTCTTCAATACGAATGGCTACACTCAAATCTCCGATAACAAGGGCGGTTGGAACACCGAAGTCAAATGCTGGGTACAATACGATAACACCATTTCCCCAGGAGCAACGATAGGCCCTCTCTGCGCTGACGGTGGCCTCCAAACCATAATTCCTATCAAGGTCCCCCTTCATGAGGGGAATTGGCGGGTCTACGTTATTGACCGCTGGATCAGGTATTATCCTGCTTCTTTATTCAGAACCGACGTGGCCGATCCTGCGCAAACTCTTGCGCAGGGTAGTGATCAGGTCAGTTGGTATGGGGCGGTCTATCAGACTGATGAGACTTTGACTTCGACCAATATGGGGAGTGGAGAGTGGCCGTGGACGAGGTTCACTCATTCGGCATTTATTAAAAATATTACTTGGATTGATGCTGATAGTATTTTGCATGATTATGATGGGACTCAGCATTCGATTGTGTCGGATGAGGAGGGGTATACTATGGAGACGCATTATAAGAGTGGGTTTGATTGGTGGCAGAGTTATATGTGGATTGGAGGGCCTGGGGCTGGTGGGAAGATTGGGGCTGAGAGTGAAAGGACCAAGGACACTGAGGTTGAACTGCTTTAGCTTGTTTGTTTTCATTAAGTATTCCTGATTTTCCTTGATATTGTTTATGCTTCTTCAATCCCATCAAGTCCTCGTTGCATGCTGCTCATGTTGTACTGAATTGACTCCACTGACGCTCGTAGAATAGCCTGGGGCATTACTTGGGCCGTCACTATAATTGAGCATTACTTAGAAAGTCAAGAACTTGTATGACCTATTATCAGCGGATGCCAATGACTCGGTTTCTCGTGCCCCAATGTTTAAGGGATATGCTTTCCAGTTGTTATAGAACATCGATGTGCCATAGAGAACTACCCACTGAAGAATGGTATACTGATAGCTGTGAATTTCGTACATGTTGTTGGAAGCAACCAAGGCCAAGCTCGAAAAAATATGTTGACCCTAGTCTCCCATCTAGAAAAACGCCATAGCCCAATGCAGACTCTAAAAATGAACCACCCCGTGCCACGTAAACGAAGAAACAACACCACATCAATTGAGGCTGTCCCGAGGACCACCCACACGGCGAGGATAATGCCGACCAAAGCCGCTGCGTCGACTACTCTGACTCGTAATCGAAGCACGTAGATCATCTTCCTCAAACATCATACTGCTCGAGTCAAATGCATCACCCCCACCACTCCAGCGATTAATAAACCGCCGCTGAGCCTCCGTCTCGCCCTGGACATCCCGACGCATAAACGGGGGAGGCGGTAATCCACGACTGTTCGGAGTACTCGTGCGGAAGTTCTCCAAGCGCGGACGCGTGATACTCCCCTGTTCTTCATCTTCATCCTCGTTATCAAGCTCATCCTCAGTATCAGTATGCTGCCACTCACCCTCCTGCTCAAATCCATCCTCAACCGCATCAGGAATATCATCATCCAAATCACGGCTGAGATCCTCGCTGCCTGCAGCCTCGGGAATATCCGCATCAAGATCGGGTTGGTTATCAAAGTCCTCGTCGACTTCTTCCTCGTACAGATCGGACTCTTCCTCGTAGTCATCATCGGGGTATCCCTCGGGAATATCATCGTCCAGGTCCCGCTCCATGTAACCCTCCTCATCGCCCAATCCATCCTCCTCGAGTCCCTCTTCACCCTCTTCGACAAGACCTTCCTCCGCCTCGGGGATATCATCGTCCAGGTCGCGCTCCATACCCTCTTCTTCCTCGCCCTCTTCGCCCATCGTCATCCCCACATCATCGGGATCAACTGCGGCAGCAGCTTCCTGTTCGGCAGCTAGCGCTGCGAGTGCTTCTTCGCGCTCGGCCTCTTCTTCTTTCATGCCCAACATGGTTTTGGCGCAGCCGGCAGGCCGGATCCAGGAGTAGCCGAAGGAGGCGATGTTATTCTTGCGCGAGCGCAGGGCGCGTTCTTCCGCGTGTAGAGCGGCGAGGGAGTTATTTGGGGCGCGTGAGGGGAGGAAAGCGCGGTGGTTGGTTGGAGCTGAGACATTGTTGCGACGGTTTGGGTGATGGCTTGGAGCGTCGTGGTGGGGTTGTTGTAGAGAGGAGGAGCGGTAGGGCTGAGAAGCGCCGAACCAGAGTTCGTGGGACTGATTGTTTCTGTTAGACTAGTCGGGGATATGGTGGGCGTTGGGGATGAAGCTCACGTCTTGCGGGGTGAGAAAGGGGAGTGAGAGCATTCTTGCGCTGGTATTGATGCGTGACCTGGTAAAGTGTAGTGGAATAGAAGTAGAATCGGGGAGAGACTCGGCGCCGCTGAGTAGTTCTCCTCTGCAGCGCTGCGCGTGTAGTCGCGAGGTTGTTGGCGTATGGGGGAATGCAGTCCGCGGCGGAAGCAATGATCAGAGGGGATAGCTCTGGCGCACTCAGGGTTGTTCGGAGCTGGTGGAGTACGGTTCTCCTCGCAGTCAGGCTTCACGTGATTTATAAGAGACTGCCCACGATCTATAAATGGTGTGATTTTGAGCAGTTATTTGAATTGGAATCGTGAAGCTCTCAAGTAGCGGAGGTTCAGCGGGCAAAAAGTCGCAGGCTCCACTGCCAACCAAAACATTGCCGCAATTGCGGGGAACGGTTACTACTGTACTATAGGAAAAGTACATTCTACGACCATATTTAAGAGGGCTAATATATCTATTTTTATGTTATTTTATCAAAATCGTCATTCGCTTACCTAGATCTTGGCCATAATCCTCTTTTTATTATACTAGAAAATATCACCTATTGATATCAAATTATTTCCGAAGAAAGACTGTCTCAACGTGAATAGTTGAGAAACCATAGATACTTTATATCAGTCTCAAGCATGTAGATTTCAGCTTGGTCTATATGTATATGACCCTACTGCAAGACTCTAGTGTACTGCCCTGATTTCCGTGCGCCAGCCTGCCTTAATATCTCTGCAATTTGAAGATACCCCCGCTCTTCCGCCTCCTGAAGAGGACTTTTGCAATTGGAATTTCTTGGCACCAGATTGACATCAGCATTTGCCTCTATCAATGCTCTCACAACCTTAAGATTTCCATCTGCGGCTGCTGCTTGGAGGGCTGTTTGGCGATCCCCAAATTGTCCTGTCCAGCCGGTTGAAGGCATATTGACATCTGCATTTGCTTGTATCAGCATATTCAAAGCCTCAAGATGACCAGTTTTCGCCGCCGCGTTGAGGGCAATCTGGCCAAATACTTCTCCTGGGCCGCATTCACATCAGCATTTTCCCGTAACAATGTGTTTACAACCCCAAGATGGCCACTTCCAGCTGCTGCTTGGAGAGCCGTTCGTCCAAGGTCTTGAGCTGGAGCTGCATTGATATCAGCACCTGCCTGTATCAGGGCGTTCACAACCTCAAGATGGCCTCCTCCAGCCGCAGCTTGATGGTCCGTTCGTTCTCGATCTGGATTTGGAGCCGCATTTATATCGACTTTTGCTTGTGTCAATGTTTTCACAGCCTGTAGGTGACCTCCCTGTACTGCTGCTTGGAGGACTTTCTGAGCATTGAATCCAGAAATTTGATTAATTCGGGTATCATGGCGGCCGCCAGCTTGGATCAGGTACTCGATGCAATCTTCACACCCTAATCTCGAAGCAACGGCTAGGGAATAGTCACAAAACGTAAATGTGGTGGTCCGACGGAGGGATTGTGAAAAAGGTGGCAAAATATCTCTCAAGCCACAGTCATGTTCAAGTCGGTGGACAACTTCCACAAGGATATAGAGGTTCCAATGGTCACCCTCAGTCAAGGTTTGGTGTATTGCGCAGTACCAGAGCAAGGTACGGTGCTGATGCGTTAATAACCACTTTGACCTTCTCACGTCAGATCGGTTGTCAGCTTCCTGATATTTATCCCATGGTCTCCTTGCCGGTATATCACTGCCCTCGACACATTGAGAGAATAATCGCCAAATCTTGCTACCATTCGGGACGTTTAATTCTCGCAGGTGATCGATCCAATAGGTCTGCGCATAGGGCAGAAAAAGATAGCTCCTCTGGCGCCCATGCTCCAATTTTGGTGCTCTTGAGACTTCAATTATTTTGACGGTCTGTCTTTCTACCTCTGCAGACCGTAAATGTCGTAGGTGTCGACCACGAGATAGGATCTCCAAGGCTACCTTTCTCCCAACGCTAGGAAGAGGCAGGACACCGAGTTGTAAGGGTTGAATAGGAGTATTGGAGCCCTCCCATACTCTTGCTAGCTGACGTTTGGAATCAGTGAAATCGAGGTATGTAAGGCAAAGAATTCCAAGATGCTGATCCACGTCTGCCACGTCAATTGTGCCAGAAAACTGGTCCATGCTTGCCAAAAGATGCTCCTTAAAACTATGGTGAACATAATGCACTGTGCTGTCCTCTTCATCAACGAAAATTAGCCCACAACAATTGCTGATGACTTGGATCATATCATTGGGGCAGTTTCCAGGTTGATGGGATTCTTGCTCTGGTTTAATCCCAAGAAGGTCTTCGTATTCAAGAAGCGTTAATGATCGTTTCAAGAAAGCACAGAATCGCAGCATGTCGGTTGTGTTTTTGACATTGGGTTTGCTCGTCACGCGACGGAGCTTCTGATCATAAAGCTCAGCGAGACCCCGAAGCAGTTGGGTTAAAGCTACGGAAATTTCCTTGTCACTTCCTTGTGCGCAGAGCTCTTCAATAAAGAGACGAGTCCAGAGAATCCTGCAAATAGGATGGACAATCAGTGAAAGGACATAGAGCGAGAAGATTGTAGAGTTTCACTGGGTACTATTTTCCACCTACATTCCGTCTGACCCATCTAGTAGGGCTTGCGATATAGTAGCTATGAGCCTCCCGTCTCTCAGCTTCAACTTCCCATTTTCCAACAAGCGACTCAGCGTTACATCGATGTAAAGTTCCATGCCGGGTTTGACCTTATCTTCAGTTACCGAGATCCTGTACTGTGGTTTGCCCGCACCGAAAAGCTGTCCCTCGATATCGGGCCGGCTTGCGATGAAGATTTTCAGAGTGCGAGTGTCACTTTGACGAAGGCGCGTGAGATTCAAGATGACTTCATCGCATTCTTTTTCGTCGCACTCGTCTAACCCATCGATAATGAGATAGAAAATCTTGCCAGGTTCTAAGCAAGACAACAATAGCTCAGTCACCTCCATCGTATCGAGGTCCTCAGTTCTGTCATGTAGGGCTTGAAGATCATCGAACTGATACCTCAAAATTTGACTCTCTAGTAATTGACAGGCCAAACTTCCCGTGATATTCCTTGCTGACAAGGTGGCTTTGTTGTCAGCGCAACAGAAGTGGTGGGATATAATCTCATTAACATTGCGTGATCCGTGTAATTGAGAAATCACGTTCGACGTAAGGACTGTCTTGCCAACTCCCATTGCACCTGAGCACCAAAGTATGGTATTCCAGTGCTGCGTTTCCATTGACCGAAGATATCATCTTGGCATAACCACTCTGCTGTTCCCGAGACTCGTTCCCGAATCGCCTGTTTCCATGGCGTTAAGTGATCGATTGAAGTGAGATTTTTTCGAATGCGGGAGCGCAATCTTTCGGAATCTCTTTTCAATTTGGCAATGCGCCACTCATTCGCTTCGTCATCTTGTTTCCTGGTGGTTTTGTAAAAGTCGAGACGAAACCGTGCGTCCTTTTTGCTGTCGAACTCCTGCAATTTGATTGCGTCCTGATTGGCCTTCAGTGAAGCAAATTGTATCTCACGAGCGACGTTTTTCTCCGACTTTTCCAAAAGTTCAAGAAATGGCTTAAAGTCGCTTTCGAAAGGACTAAAGAACGATGATATCATCTACTTGGCAGTCTGTCCGCGCGAGATCTCGATGATCTTGATGCAAATGCGAATAATAATCGCATAAAAGTCGCACAGCTCATTTTGAAGCTCGACGCATCCTGGATACAGACCGCCGAACTTTTCATAGATTGGACAAAGCTTGCTGATTGACATAATCAGGTTAGTGACTTTTTCGAAATAAGAAGCCACATTGTTCGCCGTTAAAATGGCCATCTTCACACTTCCCCACACCAGGGCGGCTATTGAGGGGTTGGAGCTGACAAAGGTGTCCGCGACGCCGGCGAACTGCTGCGTCTTGTCCAAGAATGTGCATAGTCGAGATCCCATACATCTCATAGTCGTCTTGGATTTGCTTTCATCGATTATTCTCACAAATTCATTGATGCTCGAAGGCCCCGGTGTGGTAGCATTAGCTTGGTACTGCTGCATTTCTTCGTCTGTCAGGGTTTGTTTGAAATCCGTCAGTGCCTGCACAAGAGACAAGGTGGGGTCTCCCCTTGGTACTCGTCTGGAAGTTGCAACGAGAGCCACGAGAGACCGTGATGCCTAGCAAGGTGTATTCACGCGCGGGAGATGCGAAGGGACGCGAAGTGGATAGAGAAAGCGGGAGGAGAGGAGGGGAAACGAGATTAAAGCAGAATACTTGTCGATTGCACAGCAAAAATCCGAATCAGAGCAGTGAAAAGGTGAATTTGGGGGCTGAGGCTGAGCTTCTGTTTGCCTTGCGGCCAAACCGCCTAATAAATCCCAGAAAAAAGCAATAACTAGTTACATAGAAGTTAGTAGACACAAATTTCTTGCAATATGGTCTACTACTCACCTTTGTGAGAAATAATACATGAAGAATAGGGTTGCTATTGGAAATCGTCAAAAAAGATATGACTTATCATACTAACGATGCTGGATGTTTTGTATTGCAAAAGCTGGCACCTAGACCTTAGATATAGAGATTCAGCCTCACGGGAATGAAATGCTGCATGACTTGACTTGACCCTCGAAGGAATATCCACAAACAACTTAGTTAACGAAAACTTCGTGAAACAATATACCGTAATTAATTTTAGTAATGATAGGACTACGTTGATAGCCAAGGTTAATACATTCTGAGGTATCACTTACAGAGCATAATATGCGACTAGGTGTGATGGAACACCAATTTTCGCACCTCTAGCTCCCTAGGCCACACCACCTAATCTCTAATCATTCTGCCTGTTGTAAATCCTTCGCCAAAACAGCATGAATCCATGATATAAACGGATATTACTTAGAAGGTACTTCCTCCTAGCAGGCACTGGAAGGGCACTTCCTCACACACTCTAAACCAACAACTAGCATCTTAACGCATAGTACAGTGGGGCCCCATAAGTGAGACCCTGGCAAAAATGCAGAGCCGTCTTAGCAGTCACTACGGAAATGGTGTCTTGCCATCAAGAAAGATGTTTCAAAAGAGGTTCATCAAGATCTTTTAAATAAAGTTGTTTGAACTATGTCTGGTTGAACTGTTTGTCTGGTTTCTAGTCTCAGACTCTGGACTGCCATTGTATATACCACGGTACCTATGGACATGATCCGCGGACCAGCTAGGATTTTCAGATGACTTCGGACGCGGTCATCTAAATGTAGACTATTTAGGTAGTCCCTCTGATTTTAGATTGAGCTCTCGATTTTCTCCGTCGACAACCACTACTTTAAAGCCATCAAGCTCATAGTGCTACCTATCCCATACGTCACCAAGCTTCTTATCTACCTCCTAGCCGAACTCTCGTGCATGGCTCATAGAGGGTTGGGACCAGGATACCACTAGATGGAAATGGTATCATCCGTGCGGTATTTAGGAGATGAAGATTTCTCAGGCCTTGGAAAGAAAATTGCTACGATAGATAATGAAAAGTATTCGGCTGTTTAATAAGTCTCTGAACTTCAATTAAATCTTATTCTTGCCTTTCCAATAATCTTCAAGAGTATGTATTTGCATCAAATTCATAAGAGCACTCATCGTTTGAGACAACTATGTATTTGACAATGATAGACATGACTTGAAAGACATTCCGCACTAGGACAGAAGCACGGAAAACGCTTCTAAAATATGCTAGAGTCCACGAGCTCACGTTCAGTCCAGAAGCAACAAATCCCTGCGTTATATTATGCTTAGAACCTTTTGCAAGAAGTGTGCTGGGCATAACACCTTAGATTTCAATTTCATTACAATGTGTACTAATACCTAGGTAGCTGGGAACATCTAAACGCACAAGCTAGAGGTTCCTCTTGTGGAGTGACGAGGGCGATTATGGTGTGTATTCTCTTCATCTTCACTCTCTTCATCTTCACTCTCTTCATCCTCGCTCTCTTCATCCTCGCTCTCTTCATCCTCGCTCTCTTCATCCTCGCTCCCTCGATGCTCAATTTCTTCATTCTCAATCTCGTTATGCTTGCTGTCTTCGTGGTCGCTATCTTCATGCCCGCCTTCTTCATGCTCACTGCCTCCGCCATCCTCACCTTTACTCACTTCATCTCTTTTATCTTCATTCTCGTCGTCCTGACTGAGATCATCGTCTCCACCATTACTGTTGTTATCATTGTTGTCATCACCGTTGTCGCACTCGTTGTTGTCACCATCAGTGCCCCCATCCGAAGACCGCAATATTTGATCCGTCTCCTGCTCTTGCTCTTCATTGGTACCCGCACCTTGTGTGGGCTCACTGATATTATTTGGCAAAAACTTCTTGTTCAGGTTATCAACAGCGTCCTTGACTTCAGGATCTTGCCCAAGCCAACCCTCATACGACATGGTCAGAAGCTGGGATCGATCCAGTTTTGCGTACTCGTCAATCCAGGTGCGTGCCGCAATCTCAGCAAATGGATCATCAGCAATGACAATATCAGATGGCGGGTATAAACCTCCATGTAAAGCGCGGAGTTTCTGTTCGAACCCTTGTTCGCCGACTGCCTTTTCGTAAAGCTCGCCGGTTTGAATGCTCGCGCTATATTCCACATCCTTGATGTAGACGTCGGATAATCGGGTGCAAGATGAGAAAGCCATTTGCGGGTATTGCTGCCTCAGCTTCAAGCTGACCTCGATCATAGCTCAGTCAATGCGACAGGCCAAAATGACGCCTGCGTCCGTGATACGGGTGTAATCCTTGGGATTCACATGTGCAGCTTTCTCACTCATATCATAACCTAAGCCCAATCCGCTGTGGACAATCTCAGGTATAATTTGGCCGTACCTTGGAATTGGGGTTTCGATAAAAGATGTGATGTGTTTGACAGTCGTGTCATAAAGAAAGTCGTAATCCAACAGCTCAAGCCATTTATCTGCGGTGGTGTCTTCGAATTTTGCTCGTTTCTTTTCCAGCGCAATCTTTATTATGGGCCCAGGCATAAACACGATGATCATGCGCATGTTGAAGCTGGTCTTGATATTTTTATCCCATGCAGGTCGTTGGCCCCGGATCTGTATCATTCTGTCGCGCGAAGCCGTGAATATCTGCCCGTGCCCTCTCCCGTGCCCGAAGGCGACCGAGGTGACCGGTTTCGTATGGCCTTGAAGCACGTAATCCGGTTCTCCTGTGTCGGCTTTCCAAATTCGAATTGTTTCATCATCCGAGCCCGATGCCAGCTGCATGCTGTCGTCCGAGAACACAACCGAGTTGACTTGTTCGTATGGCCGTCGAGCGTGTAAAGTGGTTTGCCCGGGTTGACTGCCCAGATTCGGACGGTATTGTCATGCGATCCCGATGCTATCTGCGTGCAGTCGCCCGAGAATGCAACAGAGGTGACAGGCCCGGTATGGCCTCTGAGAATATGATATAACCGACCTGACTCGGCTGCCCAGACCCGGACGGTGTTTTCATGAGACCCAGATGCCACAAGCATGTCATCATTCGAGAACGCCACAGAGGTGACTGGCTCCCAGTGATCAAGTTTCAGGAGCAGCTGGCCTGTTTGAGCGTCCCAGATCCGGGCTGTCTTATCATCCGACCCCGAGACTATCCACTTCCGATAGTCTGAGAATGCAACTGAAGTGACTGCTTCTTCGTGGCCCCTGAGAGTCCTTATATGGGGCCCCCGTTTCGGCGTCCCAGATCCGGATTGTTTTATCACAAGACCCCGATACTACCCACTTGCATTCAATATTGCCTGGAAATACAACCGATGTCACTGGCTTCTCGTGCCCGGTGAGCGTTCTGATAAGTTTGCCCGTGTCGGCCTCCCAGATCCGGACTGTGCTGTCATGGGAACCAGACGCAATTTGCATACTTCTGTAATTGGATGCGACAGAGGTAACCGCATCCTCGTGGCCTTCGAGTACTTCAATCAAGGTGCCATTGTCGGTTGTGCCAAATGAGTTGACTGCATCGAGAAGGGCTTGACCATCGGAGTAGCAGTAATTATAGCCCTTCAGGATGACGTCGAGGTTGAAAAAATGCCGGTAACGGAGCCATGCAAGCATCGGGGCAAAGTCTTTGTCTCTCAGGTCGAGTTGAAAAGTGGAGTTCTCAAAGAATTCCCAGAGGGCTACCCCATCGTGTTTTTCCTTCCACGGGTAACTCGGATCGTAGTTTGATAGCAACTTTGCAAGGCCCGGAATTCTCGCCATCGTCTCCTGGTATGAGCTCGCGTGGTTATTCGTCTCCAGATTGACACCCCTCTCCACGACAATAGTTCCAATGAAATCAACGCCATCAGCCTGACTCCACCTCCGGGCTATGGCTGTAACACGAGCTCCAGTCGCATCATGAGCTAGGAAGGCCTTGCGTGGATTGTTCGATCTATCCGCACGTGTGTGCGAACGCACATCTAGCTCGTGGAGGCGTAGACCTAGGCCCAATCCCTTGTCTATAGCAAGTTCTGTGTTCTCGGAAACCTTCATTGCCCGATCGTACAATCCGCGATGACAGAACACGCCACTGAGTCTGTTGAAGTTGGACTCGGTTTTCCTGGGTTGTCCGTAGCTGTCTAGGCCGGTGCGGTAGAACTGGTAGTCGGCATCTGAACTGGTGAAGTTTATCGCACCTATTCTACCCAACAAACCCGTCCTGCAATACTTGTGTATTTGCTCTTCCCATTCATAACCCGGGGAAGTGGGTATGGATTTTCAGTTTGTCTTGGCTGGGTAAAATAACCCGTGTTGGGTTCAGGATTCGGGTCTTCTTGCGAGGCCATTTCTTCTGATCCAAGAAGAGAGTTTAGCAGCAACAAGGACTGAATGGTTCAGGCGTTGAAACTTGAGCAACGTAGTTTGGTTGAAGGTTGTGATAATAGATCTGTGAGAAGCAAATACTAGACATTTAAATAGTCTCAAAGAGATTGAAGAGAGTGATCATCCTTTCAGATTGTGTATATTGGGATGGGCAGTATAAGCAGATTGCTCTGCCCGGCTATAGTAGTCAACCATATGCACTGCTTACCTGCAGTAGGGCGTATGCATTGCATTGCTCACCACTTATGCACTGCCCACATGCAGTGAGGCTATTGTAGTCGATAAGTACAGGAGAAGGGGCCGTACCTGGGCGTAGTTTGTACTTGATACACTCAAACCTTATTTTAGCCTACCAATCAATCCCAGCCACCTAGCACACCTGACACCTAAATTGGAACCAGAGTTCTCATCACCATCCATTAAAAACTAGTTAACGGATATAGTGTACCATGGTGACCTGGTAGGGGCGGTACTTTTGATGTGCGAGACGGGTTGCTCTCTCTGTACGAGTAGTGTACAGTGTTATCCACGAGGCTGACTTTTGTGAACGTGCAAGTTCTGCTACCCTAATCCCGAGGGTTCGGTATCCTCGTTGGTTATTTCATAGGTTTTATTCTGCGGCTTTTGGTAGAATTTTGCTGTTAGTTTATCTTTGCCTGTCTATAGTTGGAAACGAAGAGCCCCCTCCACCAAAAGGAGAAGCGTGGCCATTGGTATTCTGCATCGAGAAATCGGTGGGGAGACTGATAGCTATTCGATTGTTGGCGAGGCAGAGATAACGAGGGTTCCGTTGGGGTTAAGTCGCATTATTCATACACAATTCACTTTGATAGACAAGGGACAGAAATTAGTTTCCCCTCGATTTTAAGGTTCCAGAATCCGTGTCAAGAACAATATTTGACACGTTATACCATCTTCTCACTAGATCCGCTCTCAGATTCAGAAGACCTTGTGCGAGAAACCATTAGCCGCTTCCTGCTCTTTTGGTTTTCTCTCCTAGCCCAAACAACCCATATGAGGATAGTGATAACAGTCAAAGGCACCGCCACTACCCAGTATATCCAAATACTCGGTGATGCTACCAGAGAAGATGTCTCGTTGCTTTTGTTGCTGGTACCAGGCCAAGAAAATATGTCCATGCTGAACAAAGTAGCCACAAAGGTAGCCGGTAGGTAAACAATGCCAAGAATAGAGATTGTTCTCATGGCTATGCTGTCGCGCTTCCCGTCTATTGCGATTGCGGCTGTGTATTCTGCGTCGCTTTGCGTGATGACACTCAGCATCTAAAGAGTTTAAAGTATCAGCAGTTATACATGTGATTGAAGTGACCTGACGGATAAGGGGAGACTCACATAGCTAGTTTGGCTCTGAGTTCTATCGCTCATTTGCTGCACCTGTGACAACAGCATCGCAGTCCGTCTCCGCACATACTCGACGTCTTGGCGAACCATCCGCTGTGTAGCCTTTAAATACTCCGACAACTGCTGATCCTGGTGCTGGGAACTGGAACTACTGTTCTGTCCCACATCGTGTGAAAGTTGCCCATCTAGAAGGCTCGCATCAATGGCTTGGATAAGCCACTCTCCGCAATCCAAGCAACATCGGCCAACATGTCCAATGATAGCGATATCCGTTTGGCAGTAGCCTAGCTCTTGAATTGTTCTTTTTGGATCATCAAGGGCAGGATACTCATCCATACTGGGACGACGCCCTCGATCCAACCTGCCCGGATTTCCAAAGCCCGTTTGTCGCTCGATTCCCAGAATGGTGCAATCGATGGTATTACGGTAGACTTCGATGTGTTGATGGTGCGAACGATAGAGGGCAGAGACATGAAAATAGGGGTCGATACATTGTTCCGGTGCCGACAACAGGGTGTTGAAGACAGCGTATTCATCGAAGAGATGGTGGTATAGGACGTAGGTTGTGCGACGAGAAGGGTCGCAGGTGACGGACACACAGTCGAAGCCTGTTGTGCGCGAATTGGCTACTTTCATGACAAGGGATGATCGACCGGAATGGTGGAGTGTTGTCAAAACTCCATTGTTAGACAGCCATATCTCGATCGTGCGCGGGTGAAGATTCCATGAATCTTGGATCTTCTGGAATGTCTCCTTGGGAACGGACAGGGCGAGTCTGCCGGGCCGGACTCGGGGAAGTGATATCGCTTTGAAGTGCCATAGACTGGGATTATCAGCATTGTCGCTTACGATAGCATCGTCCCGAGGATTTTGGAGACAGCCTTCAATTTGGTTGAATTGAATTCTGTCCTCTAGGATGTGCGTGCGTTTCCCCGAATCATTTGAATCAAGCGACAGCGAACCTTTCAAGACCCTGATGCCTTGATGTGGGGTCATAGAAGGTTCTGCCCAAGTGGCTAGCTTTTCCTCTCGGGTCTCCATATCAGGTCTCGGACCTTGGTTGGAGATAGCGGGGGATTATTTCTCGAGCTTAGGTCTGAGTTAGAGAAATCCGACTGAGGGGAGCTGGGCAGCAGCCGGTATGACGTGCCACCAGGGGTGGGGCTCAAGTATTTATCTATAATATGCATGGGTGCTGCTTATTTTTGAGCAGATATGTTAAAGGATGGAGAAGTAGAGAGGCTTTCAAGGGCTTGATGGCGTGTTGGCAGACTGGAAATGTGCGCACATGGTGCCAGCTGAGGGGTGCAGGCAACCGGTTGGGCGTTTCAAAGTGGCCCGCTATTGGCTCGCTATGCATCGCCTTGATAAAAAGGAAAAAAATTGCCAGATGATTGATCCTTCAATCTGGGCTGACTACTCCGTACTAGAATCTGCCTCGTATTCTGAAGGCGCCACACAGCCCCATATTATCGGACGACTACGTGGCAACTACTTCTTCACACCATCCCCATAATCTATAGGTTCGTAATTCAAGGCTCACCAGGCAGCTTCTGTAAGGCTAAGTTGCGCGAGCTGTGTAAACTAAATCGAAATCCATCCATAGATCCGTAAATGGGTAGGTAGAACTAACCAGGCAGCCAGTCAGACTTCGTGAATCGTCGAGGGCTTTTCAGAGGGTTTCCAAGCCTCGTCTACCCCTTCCGCGACCTAGTCAGTTGTCTATGCGCAAAAGTGCTCATAGGAGATACCAGCCATCTCTTTGGACTAGCCGTTTGAGAGACAGTCCGATGCTAGGCGAAGGGCGACCTTTCTTCTATCATCTGCCACAACAAGGCTTGTTGCGACCGCCCAGTAACCGTAAAGTTTCCCAATTACAACTGGCATCAACTGACAAAAGGCAAGATAAGAGACAGGAAGAAGAAAAGGAATGGATTCCTGAGAAATACTTTCAATCAACCCGTTGATAGGCTTGGGTATATTCTAAGCCAGACAAATCTTTGTTTCTGTCGAAGAGTGGACACGGCACACGTTTATTTTGGCGACTTTGTCACTTGAGCGAGTAGGCTACTGTGGCGAATGTACTTGAGCATTAGGGACAAAAAAAGTCATCAATATCCAATGAGCACCCTGGTTTTTCAAACATGGTCAAAGGCAGAATAAATTCTATAACTGGTTCATTATCATTTTTGACCTTTTCCCGGTCCCATTTCTGAACCGGCTGTTAGTGCCCAAGGAAACAGTTCGCAGGGAATACGGGCGGGAATCGTATTGATCCCCGCTTACCCAATACCTTAATACCCCTGCTATATAGCATTAGAGTGACGGAGGCTCGGCAAGTGCATTGATCTTGAGCTAATGTAGCTTACTTTCTACTTTCTTATGCATGCGTCTTTTGGACGTTCAAATTCTTGGGGGCGAATATCGAGTCAGTGCCAGCGTTGAGATGACACCAATTATATGGTGATTGTCATCATTTTCAACATGACAATTACCGTTGATGATTCTCTTGTCCCGAAGCTCTCTCAACTAATAGCGATTATTCTCTATCCTGATTTTCACCAAAGTGACGACTTTATTGATGCACGAGCCGGAAATTTGCATAGTAGAATGGCTACATAATACCACAAGCCTCGAGCACAACCTGATCTACATAATTAGATGAGAATCAAATAACGATTTGGCACATTTACAGCATAGTATTATTGGACGCGTGTAATAAATAAACACAAACCATCAATCAAAAATCAAGCAAAATGAACACAGTTCAGCAAATCCAGGAAAAAATCAAGACAAACTGGTAAGAAAAGATTAGGAAGAGGAATTGATCCCAACACGCCCTTCCGCCTCACCCGTGAAAAAGATCACTCCCGCAAAACAACTTGCCCCTTTACCCATCATGGTACTTATTTCCTTTCCCACATCCTCTTCTTCAAAGGTTTTCCGACAGTCTGGAAGGCCTGGATTATATACGCCGCACTGGCCTCCGGGGTTCTCTGCACGAAGAGCGCTCCCATCGTGACATAGAATACGGCGACAACGCCAACAAGAGCCCCTTGGAGCCCCTGCATAGCCTTACCACGCGAAATATACAGTGCAACGCCAAGGCTTTTTTCGTTCCCGGATGCAGATGTATTCAGCAGCGCATTCATACCCTGTAGAGAACCGAGGCACGTCACCAATACGAGAGCAAGCGAGAAGGCACTCAAAGTGATCGCCGTCACTAACATTGCCTTGTATGATCGCTTTCTGGATGTACCTGTTCGGGCAACAAGGAGCATAATACCTGTGATGAAGAATAGGAGGATATGGAGCAGGGGAGGTTCACAGAAGAAAACATTCTGCCGGAGGTGCTTGGCTTGTGGGAGGGTGGTATTCAGGAAGGACTGAACGTCGGATTCGGCGACAGAAGAGTTGAGGTACAGGGGCTCCCAAAGGTCTTTGCTAAGATTATTCAAATCTTTGCGGCGCATGTTTGGGATACAGTGGGTGAACGTTTGTGTTGAGGAGTTGCCGTTTATAGAGGATATTTCAGCCGCTTTGGTGACAGATACGCAGCCCCCTGCATAGAGTGAGTTAGCACGCATATTTCCCAAAACTATCTCTAATAAAGTAAATATTGGGCTTCTCTCTACTTACCAAAGTAGCCCACACGAAGTGAGATATCGTATGTCTCGTTTGTCGAGAGTTCAGCGAGGTAAATATCATTGGCATTTGCCGTTTTCGAGACACAGCTCGTCATCATGTACACTGGATACCGTTAGCGATACACCATATTACGCAATTCTTTCAGACTTACGACCCAGAATGATTGCCACCAGATAGGAGACAATTGCCAGACACGCGAGTAAACATATCGACCCCTTTCCCTTTCGCTTGACTACTCCGCAAAACTATTAGCCTCATTATCGTGATATTGTAGCCGTTATCAGGGAGGTCAACTCTCTTACCTGGCTTTTCAAAGACGACTGTTTGTGTCTGTGGAATGGGCGTATATGTCGGTGCATACTGAGAGCCCACGGGATGAGGAGCGGAAAGAGGAGTGGCAACAGGAACGGCGCTCGCAGACGAAGTTGGCTTTTTCTTGCCAGAGGTCTTCTTTCCCGTCTTCTTGCCTGCCTTCTTCACGCCATCCTTGGCCTTCTTTCGTGGAAGTGTCGAGGGGTTGGAGGCTTCCATGGTAATAGAATAGAATATCTTAACAGGCTGTCTCTGATCAAATTTAACGGCTGTTGATAACTCTTCCAGTCCTAGGTATTAGACACCTATATATACTCTGGCTCGATTAACAGGAGTGCGTTACATCATCTGGACTGCAACCTCATCACCTAGGTTGTATATCTACTATCACTCTGTACCACATGTAATATATCCAAATCAATCAAATCCACGTTTTTCCATTGGACTGGTGGGGAATGCGGCTCGCCCCGAAAGTCAAAGCCTCAGATCCAAACATAGAAGTTAGTTTGTCGATCCCACACTGCACACTGCGATATCCAATAGTGGTGGGGCGCGCTAGTCCCAATATACCAATAACACCTACTTTGTTTGCTACATTGACCCTTGTCATTGCATATCCAATGCCTGCCTGCAGCTCGTGTTTTCGAAAAAAAAGCAATCATGGGAACCGCGTTTTCGAGGGGCCAAAAACAAGGCTGGGCTGTGTTCAGCCGCAACATCGGCAGTTAAACCTGTATGCTTGATTAGCCTTCCTCTAAGTCCGTACTTTGAGTTGGGTCACCTTGACAAAACGTGGCTACTAATGCTATATCACGAGCAGATATGAGCCTATATTTAGTATCGGGCTTTGAACCTGCAGCCGATGCACTCGGGGCCCGGCTGCTTCAAGACAATCACGGCAGATTGTGGTGTGGTCGTTTGCCATAGTAATATGGCTGATGTGCGGCGAAGAATGACTATGTTGCAGATTCGGCGAGGCTAGATTACTCCAAAGTAGGAGAGGTGCATTTGGCCCCTTTTTAGAAGGACATGGGATATCAGATTTTGGGGGGCGTAGCCCGTGGGTGTGATAGCACTTGACTCGACCTTGGAAGTTCGATGCGGCTCGACAGCAGTGCCGCTCTCCCAACATTGTTTCTGGAATGTAGACATCATCTTAACATGGCTCAGTAGCTCTGCCACTACATAATCCCCCAATGCCCCGGTGCACAAGACATCGATTGCAACTCCTCCCTCCAAAGCGTTTCAAGGAAGTTTACATGAGTCAAACCCTCGACATGTCTACATGTAACGCACCCGTCTATCTTAGCAAAAATGACCTAACCGCAAGGCTTGTGTGCCACACAAAGCCTCCACAGCCCGATAAACGCGACGGGACCACCAAGGCCATCGACATTATAGCTGTTCACGGCCTGATCGCTTGGGAGTCTTTTGCCGGCTCTCCTTTCTGGTTGTATGATTTCATTGCAAAGGACATCCGCGGAGCTAGGGTATTCACATTTAACTACGACGCTAAGGCAGTCTGGTTCCACGGAGCACCACTGAAGAGTATCCAAGACGCGTCTAGGGCTCTACTTGAGGAAATCGCTGCTATCCGAGAGGAAGCACCAGTGGCACGGCCTCTGGTATTCATCTGCCATGGCTTCGGTGGCTTTATTGTTGAATCGGTGAGTCTTTGATTCAACCCATGCGTTCCTTCCATGGTGGGATTATGCGGTTAATAGATTGTGGGATCAAGTGCTTGAATGAGGCATTCGCAAATGAATCGCCATCCCCAAGCATAATCGATTATACTCGGGGGGTCATCTTTCTTAGCACGCCACAAAGGACGTCGCCAGAGGTACCGTGGGCGACGATCTTGACTCGTTGTGCGATAGACAGTATGCCTCCAGGTTTGAATCCGGCCGAATCGTCAGCTTTGGAAGGCTTTACCTGGGCAAACAGAAGTGAAGATATTTTGCGTGATATCTCCGAAGGGTTTAATGCAAAGGTGACCAAGAAAATGAAAATATTTTCTTTCCACGAGGGTGTTCCAATGCCAGCGCAGCATGAATGTGTAAGTTGGCTTATAGTCACTTTGTATATAGGGAGCGATATACTAATACGGCACATAGAGTCTGGACGAGTATCGCGCGACTCTTGGCCTTCGTCGCGAGAAGGTCCTGGTGATGGCGGGTTGCACTCACCTGTCTATGGCAAATTTCCCAGACAGACACAATGACAACTACAAAGCAATCATATCTGCCATCAAGAAGATCCGAAAATCGGCATCAGAAGATATGGTACCCGTCTCGACTGTGCACCCATCTCAATCTGGGCTGCCCAACAACGATTTAGAGATCCAGAACCCATGGGTTAGTGAGGCATCTCAGGCCACGACTATACATGCCGTCCAGAATTCTCCGATCTTGGGCCGACAGAATATCAATTTGCAGAATACAATTGCGGCTACCACAAACTCACCCATGGAGAACACCCCATTCTCACCGATGCCAGTGGATTCGTCGAATACCCGTGACTTTGGCCATGGAACATCACCAAATAATATGGGCATGTCCAAGCAGTCAACAACTATTCTGGCAATAGTCAGGAGGGTCTAGTGGCTTCTGCCACGGCATGTTCTGCCAGTCCGCAATTGCCTCAATTCGATCCGAGCATGATGAAGATTCGCAGGCGTCCTGTCGGTCAGCCACCCAGCCCTAGGCCAACACTTGCACCAGCCAAACCTGGCAGACCACATGCCAGTCCGAAACCAAGCTCGTCTTTTCACGAAATAAAGCCTGCGAAGCAACAGCTACAACCTACCTCGCCATCAAAAAGCAATAATCTTGCATCTGGACAGCCTAGACGGGAAATACAGCACCCTCAGCACACAGCCACAAACATTGCGCCAGTCATGATGCTGGAACCAAAACCCCCCTTCAAGTCAAGCAAGAAGCCGCAAAGACCACACGAAGACATTCCTCTGAAACCCGCAAAGCTGCCATCGAACTCCAAAAATGCAGCACCTCGACCACCAGTCGTCCGTCAACCCATTAGTAACGAGGGAAATATTCATGGGAAAAACCAAGTACCACCTTATCCAGTCGCTAGAGACATGCCAATCGGTTTATCCCAGAATAACGCTCCACAGGCTAGCTCAAGAATATACCAATCAACTCCTCCAGTTTTGTATCCCCCACCTACCAAGCACCCTGCGGCTCTTACCCCAGCAATGCCCCAAGTGGAACCGCCAAAGAAACAGGCAAATACAGCACAAGGACCCTCAAGCGAGCAACGTACCAACCCTCGAAAGCTACCCGGAACGAATCAAGTGCTGCAACAGACCCGCCCCCAGAAGGTTGACCCAGGAATCAGGCGTGCTCCAATCCCAAATACGACAAGTAAAGCAAATGTCAAAATGCCTTCAACGCATGTCCCTCCAGCTCCACAGAAAGGCCTGCGAGAAATGCAGCCACAGCAGAATTATACTCCACCCCCTAAGAGCACCGGACTTTTCAGGAACCTCTTCTCATCAAGCAAGACTTCGGGTCCTGGTCGAGCCCCTGCAAGCACAGCAGTGCCATCGGGAACCCGGAGTGGCCCATACCAGCCATACAAGCCTCCTTCAAATGCGTACTTGCCATACCATGGCCCGCCCAGGATGGGACAAGGCCAATTCATGCATGGAGGCCATTCTAATGGTCATTTTGGGCCAGGGCAGCATCAATCTTGGGGGCATGGTAACCAGTTGGGATACAGTCATGGTTTCTATGATGGAATAGGGCAGATTCCCAGTCACAGTACGAGTATTGGTCCCGACAGGCCTACAGATCCAGTCTTGCCTACAGATCCAATCAAACCAACAGTTCCAGTCAAACCAACAAATCTGGTCAAGCCTCCAAGCCCAGTCGTTCCAGCTGAGCCTACAGGTCCAGTTGAATCGACAGTTCCAGCTGAGCCGATAAGCCCAGTGGAATCGACAGTTCCAGCTGAGCCGATAAGCCCAGTTGAACCTACAGTTCCAGGCGAACCAACAAATCTGGCCAAGCCTCCAAGTTCAGTCGTTCCAGCTGAGCATGTTGGGCCGGTTGACCATACGGGTCTGGTCAAGCCCACTGTTCTACTTGAATCAACAAACCCAATCCAGCCTACGTGTCCAGTCGAGCCTGCGACTTCAGTCAATTCTACAGTTCCAGTCGGACCTACAGATTTGCCCAAGCTTAAACGTCCAGATGAGAATGCAAGGGATGGTTCTAATCACGATGGGAATCGTTCCCAGAGCCATTATCAAGGCCACGGTACTGATGGAACTCATCAGGTCCAAAACCAAGGTGGTGGAGTTGGAACTATAGCTGCTGGCCTTGCGGGTCTAGCGATAGGGGGAGTTGGTGGAGCTATTCTTACACACATGAGTCAAGGCGAATCAAGCGAAAGTAGCGACGAAGAACACAATGACACACACGATAATGAAGATAAAGAGAATGACGACGATGGGGAGAGCGATGAAGACACCGACACAGATAGCGGCGAGGATGAAGATAGCGATGAAGACGAAGAAAGCGACGAAGGCGAAAACAGCGACGAAGGCGAAGACGGCGATAACGACAGCAACGAAGATAGCGACGAAGATGAAGAGAGCGCTGAAGATAGCGAGGGGAATACGGAAGAAGATGATAGTGATAGTGATAATGATAGTGAGGAGGACAGAGAAGATGAAAATGACGAAAGTGATGACGAACAGGAAGACGAAAATGATGACGAAGAGGAAGACGAAGAGGAAGACGAAGAGGAAGACGAAGGGGAAGACGAAGGGGAAGACGAAGAGGAAGACGAAGAGGAAGACGAAGGGGAAGACGAAGGGGAAGACGAAGAGGAAGACGAAGAGGAAGACGAAGAGGAAGACGAAGAGGAAGACGAAGAGGAAGACGAAGAGGAAGACGAAGAGGAAGACGAAGAGGATAATAGCGATGACGATAGCGATAATGAGGAAGAGGAGGAGGAGGAGGAGGTAGACTATGATGGAGACGATGCTTGCAGCTATGATGAAGATGAAGGCTACTACTAGTTGCCTATTTCTATACCATGGCCTAGATACAGAGGGCGTGTGGAAGGCAGAGCTAATTTAAATATCCTCAATATCACTAAATTTTCAATTATTCATTTCACTTATTTAGAGGAGCATCCGCAGGTCCAAGAGGTAATTTCGCCTTCCGATCCAAAATAGGCTCAATACTTTCCAGAGACCGACGATTCGATTTCGGCCGGGCATGTGCTGGGATTTTCAAGTTCATGGGGATGTACTCTAACAATTCCTCCTCGACAAGGTTCTTTTTCCCGGGTAAGAAGTCGCGGTGTGGTTTGTCTAGCTCGATGGTATCATTCAGGGCTTGTTCTACGTGAGTGCTGTCAGGTTCTTGGGTTAGTTCAACGGATTCACATGGAGATATGTCCTCTGTGTCTGCGTCACTCGACGATGTCTCCAGAGGAATACTTTGGGATTCTTCCAACAAGTTGGCGAAGTCGCTGAGTGACACTTCGCCAGAATCAGTCTGCGTATCTTCACGCTCTGGTAAATCCACATCCACACTCTGATCAAGCTCCATTCGCTCGCCCTCATTCCGGTCATCACAAAGCACCTCAAGATTCCGCGATGACTGAAAAGACCTCGAAATATCCGTCAAATCAATTGACTCAACACCACTCTCCTCATCACCACTCTCCAAATCACTACCGGTCTCCCAATCCCCCCTTACAATCCCACTCGCACCACAACCCCGCCTACTCCTCCTCGTCAAGTAAACCCTGCGCTTCGCATCAACCGACAAATTCGTCCTCACAATACCAGAGCGACGACGACGGGAATGATTATATTCTGTATTCTCCAGCATACCGACTGCGTAAGCGAGTGTCCGCCAGGGAAGTGGGCTTTGGTAGAAAAAGTGGATTATGTGGGCGATTATTGGAGGATGATTATTGGGATGTTTTCGATCATTCTGGTTTAGAATCAAGAGTCAGGATCATGGTGATAGGTGTAGGTTTGAATTCGTAGAAGGGGGGTTTGGAGTCATTTATGGTTTTGGGAGGACGGGAGAATGGGGGTTTTGTTTTAATACTAGGTTACTAGGTAGAAGAAAGGCTTTGTTAAGGATGGATTTAGCTACATGACTATGTTTGTTTTGTGTGGGCTTTGTTTAAGCAAACAAAGAAGGGAGATCTCATTCTTGATATCTTTAGACATAGGTCTTACTGCTTTCACGGGGCGCCATTCTTTCATTTCAGCCATATTTAGACTCACCCAGAAATAGCGGTTCTAAAAGGTCTACAGCGGTCATGATACACAAGAAAAAAACATTGTTCGAAGATAACACTTGAATTGAAGCATGTAGGTAAAGATAAGCGTAAGAGGTATGTACAACACAAAAAAAGCACCGCAAGCAGACGCTCTAAACACCTTGCATAGAGAAACGCTGCGAACATAAGAGGAAAATCAGATAAACATAAACGTGAGCCTCAGAATGAGCATGAGCATGAGCATAAGAATGAGTACCAGCACAGAGAGAAAAGAAGAAACCAAAATTTCGAAAGTGAGTCAAAAAACCACCCATCGAAATCCGAGCTCCAAGAAGTAGAAACCCCAGTCCCTTTGCAGTCTAGAAAAAATGAAAACCGAGACAATCGTTTCCATTTCCGAGGTAAAGGTAAAACTTTTGAAAATGTTGCAGTTTACCACTTCGGCTTGCTTCAAAGAAGCGAAGTGATGAATTTCGGCATAATGCTTCGTGAATCAGAATCATCATGCCTCGTTACTGATCTATCACCTGAAACATGAGTTCTCAACACGTTCAAGCGGCGACCTGGGTCTGAGCCGGCTGGGGGACAGAGTCGATAGCCGGGCGACGGACGATACCTCCAGTGACGGGGAGCTGGGAGCTGATACCGCTGAGGAAAGTATCAACTTCACGAGCGGCCTGGCGACCCTCGTTGATACCCCAGACAATCAGGGATTGACCGCGGCGGCAGTCACCGGCGGCGTAGACACCGGGGATGTTGGTCGAGTAGTGACCGGGGGGAGTCTTGACGTTCTTGCGCGGGTCGCGCTCGACTTCCTCACCAAGCAGACGGTCCTCGGGACCCAGGAAACCCATGGACAGGAGGACGAGGTCGGCGGGGAAGAATTGCTCACTGCCCTCGACGGTCTTCATGTCCCAGCCGCCGGTGGCGCTCTTGGTCCAGTCAACGCGGACGGTGTTGATACCCTTAACGCGGCCGCTGCCGTCGTCGACGAACTCGGTCGACATGACACAGTACTCGCGGGGGTCCTTGCCCATGTGGGTCTTGACCTCGGAGTGACCGTAGTCAATGCGGTAGATGCGGGGCCACTGGGGCCAGGGGTTGTCGTTGGCACGCTCTGGGGGAGGCTGGGGCAGCAGCTCGAAGTTGGTGACGGACTTGGCACCGTGGCGGACGGAGGTACCAATGCAGTCGTTACCGGTGTCACCACCACCAATGACAACGACGTGCTTGTCCTTGGCGGAGATGTACTCGCCGTCGGCCAACTCAGAGTCCAGGAGGGACTTGGTGTTCTTGTGCAGGAACTGCATGGCGAAGTGGACGCCTTCCAGCTCGCGGCCGGGGACCTTGAGGTCACGGGCGACGGTAGCACCAGTGGCAATGATGACGGCATCGTTGGAGGCACGCAGGGACTGTAGGGAGACCTCGCTGTCGGGGCCAACAGCAGTGTTGGTAACGAACTTGATGCCCTCAGCGGCCATGAGGTCAACACGACGCTGGACAACCTTCTTGTCGAGCTTCATGTTGGGAATACCGTACATGAGGAGACCACCGATACGGTCAGCACGCTCGTAAACGGTGACAGAGTGACCAGCGCGATTGAGCTGATCAGCAGCAGCCATACCAGCGGGACCGGAACCAATAATGGCGACGTTCTTGCCAGTGCGGACCTTGGGAGGACGAGGAACCATCCAGCCCATCTCGAAACCGCGGTCAATGATGGCACACTCGATCGACTTAATGCCAACGGGGTCCTCATTGATACCCAAAACACAGGCACCCTCGCAAGGAGCAGGGCAGACACGACCAGTGAACTCGGGGAAGTTGTTAGTCATGAGCAGACGGTTAAGAGCATCCTGCCATTGGTTCTGGAAGACCAATTCGTTCCATTTGGGAATGATGTTGGAGATAGGGCAGCCAGTATCAGACTGGCAGAAGGGAACACCACAGTCCATGCACCGAGCAGACTGATACTTAAGTTCATCCTCGCTAAGACGGTTGGACAGCTCAGCCCAATCGCGGGTACGAGTAGACGGGTTGCGGTACTTCTCGCTACGGCGGCTGTACTTCATGAAACCACGGGTCTTATCCAGAATCAGCGCAGAGCGCTTCTTCTCAGCCTTCTCATTGCTGATGCTGTCCTCAATGTCCAGCAGATCGGCCTTCTTCTCATCAGCATGAGCCTTGGGCTTCTCAGCGGCGACAGGGGTGCTGGGAAGCTGGGGCAGAGCGAACTCGGCCTTCTTAGCAGCGGCGGCCTTGGCGGCCTCCTCCTCCATGACGCGCTTGTAGTCGGTAGGAAGGACCTTGAGGATGTGGGGAAGGGCGCGGGTGAAGTCGAGGAGGATGCGAGCAGCCAGCTCAGAGCCAGTGTAGTGGTGGTGGTCCTCGATGAGGCCGCGGACAAAGGCGATCTCGGAGGGGTCCTCGATGCCAGAGACCTCGACCATCTCCATGTTGACCTTGGAGTGGAAGTCCTGGTTCATATCCAGCACGTAGGCGATACCACCGGACATACCAGCAGCGAAGTTACGGCCAGTAGGTCCGAGAATGAGGATACGACCACCGGTCATGTACTCGGCACCATGGTCACCACAACCCTCAACAACGGCAGTAGCACCGGAGTTACGGACGGCGAAACGCTCAGCAGCAACACCGCGGAAGTAGCAAGTACCACGAGTAGCACCGTACAGACAGGTGTTACCGACAATGACGTTCTCCTCGGCCTTGAAAGCAGCGCCGCGAGGAGGGTAGACGATAAGACGACCACCGGACAGACCCTTACCGACGTAGTCGTTGGCATCACCCTCGAGCTCCAGGGTAACACCAGGGGCGAGGTAAGCACCGAAGGACTGACCAGCGGAACCCTTGATGTTGGCGTGAATGGTGTCCTGGGGCAGACCAGCCTCTCCATAGCGACGACTGATCTGGTAGGAGAGGGTAGCACCGAGACCACGGTCGGTGTTGACGACATCGCACTCAATGCGGCAGGGGAGACCCTTCTCCAGAGCAAGCTCAGACTCGAAGATCAGCTTGTTATCGAGACGAGTGTGCAACTTGTGATCCTGCTTCCGGACATTGTAGGTAGCAACACCGGGGCGAAGAGAGTGAGCGGGAGTGAGGATGAGAGAAAGATCAATACGCTCTTGCTTGGCATTGCGAAGGTCATCGCGAACCTTGAGCAGCTCAGCACGACCAACCATCTCATTGACAGTACGAACACCAAGTTTGGCCATGATGGCACGCATTTCGTTGGCGACGTAGTAGAAGAAGTTAATCACGTGCTCTGGGGAACCCTTAAACTTTTTCCGAAGCTCCGGGTCCTGGGTCGCGATACCCACCGGGCAGGTGTTGAGATGACACTCTATAAAAAACGATTAGTTTCGATTCTCCAGCAAAAAGACGACTCAAAAGAGGTTCAAAAACGCGTTATTTGAACTTACTGCGCATCATAATACAGCCTAAAGCGATCAAAGGAGTTGTTGCGAAGCCAAATTCTTCAGCTCCAAGCAGACAGGCCATAGCCAGATCGCGGCCGGTACGAATTTGACCATCAGTTTGGACGACAACACGACCACGAAGATCGTTAAGAACAAGAGTTTGGTGGGTCTCGGCAAGACCAAGTTCCCATGGAAGACCGGCATATTTGATACCAGTCCAGCGAGAAGCACCGGTACCACCGTCGTGGCCAGAGATCAAGATGTGATCAGCCTTGGCCTTGGCAACACCAGAGGCGACGATACCAACACCAACCTCAGAGACAAGCTTGACGGAAATACGAGCACGAGGGTTAGAGCACTTGAGATCGTAGATAAGTTGCTTCAAGTCCTCAATGGAGTAGATGTCGTGGTGAGGAGGAGGCGAGATCAGACCGACACCGGGAGTGGAATGACGGGTACGAGCAATAGGACCAACGACCTTGTGGCCAGGCAACTCACCACCCTCACCCGGCTTAGCACCCTGAGCCATCTTGATCTGCAGCTCATCGGCATCAGCCAGGTAGTGCGAGGTAACACCGAAACGACCAGAGGCAATCTGCTTGATAGCAGAGCGCATAGTGTCACCGTTTTCCAGACGCTTGCTGCGCTCGGGATCCTCACCACCCTCACCAGTGTTGGACTTGCCGCCAAGACGGTTCATGGCGACGGCCAGGGTGGAGTGGGACTCCATGGAGATGGAACCGTAGGACATGGCGCCGGTGACGAAGCGGCGGACAATCTCGGTCCAGGGCTCGACCTGGTCGATGGGGATGGGGGTGCGCTGCTCAAAGTCGAACTCGAGCATACCACGGAGCGTGCAGTTCTTGATCTGCTCGTGCTCGGCCTTGGCGTAGGCCTCGTAGGACTTGTCGTTCTTGGTGCGGACGGCATCCTGGATGTTGGCAATGCTGGTGGGGTCGTTGATGTGAGCCTCACCACCATCACGCCAGTGGTACTCACCGGTCTCGGCCAGACCGGGGATCTCGACGATGTCGCGGGATGGGTAACCGCGCTCGTGGAAGGCAAAGGCATCCTGGGCAATCAAGTCGAAGGTGATACCGCGGATACGGCTGGCAGTACCGGCGAAGCAGCGGTCGATAACGCTGTCGTCGATACCG